ATATTGTATTAATTTTTTTACACGGCAGATAACAGCTGCAGTACAAGTTCAGTAGTAATTATATATATATATATATATATATATATATATATATATATATATATATATATATATATATATATATATATTGGTGTATACTGGCAGCAGGTTTTCTTTCAAACATGTTTCATTGAATATGACCGCATATTCTGTATTTATTATTTTCTGGTTTAGGGCTTCTATCCCTCTAACTATTTTCTTAGCATCAGGGCTTAATTGAAATAGGAGTTCTCCAAAACTCATTTTCGTACTTTTAACGTACTGTAAGTACATAGGTATGACGTCGACCAAGCTGACGAGGCGTTTGACATGCCATCTTCAATCTGGTGCCCCTAGGAATCACATGAGACAAGCCCATGACATTACTCTAACAAGAGAAATGTTGAACAAGAATACTTGCATAATAGACAAAACCCAAGATTCAAGAAGATTACAAATTCTTGAGGCAATTCACATAAGAATAGAGCGACCTACCATGAACACCCAAATCACGGAACTATTTACTCTACCCACCATGAGAGTAAGGACAAGACAAGAACATATCGATGCCAACACAGAAGACAATGTCCAACATAACAGGCCAATTACACTGGATTAATCTTTGTGTTTAGATAGGAGATGCCTCGTATGGGCCAATAAGCCTTCTGCAGCCCCTATGTTTATCCCTTATGTATCCCCCCCATGTTTTCACCTTCATTGTATTATCACCTGACCTAATGCGGGTATAAAATCAACTAGTATTGTAAGATCTGTTCACTTGAGAATGAACCATGGAGGTTCGAAACGTCGTGCAAATTATACAAATAAGTGTAATACACTCTATAGTAAATCACTTCTTTTCTTCACCTTAAAAGTACGAAAATGAGTTTTGGAGAACTCCTATTTCAATTAAGCCCTGATGCTAAGAAAATAGAGGGATAGAAGCCCTAAACCAGAAAATATATATATATATATATATTAGTATATTTTGGTAGCAGTCTTTCCTGTAGACATATATTATTAAATATGACCGAAAAAGTAAGATTAATAATTCTAACACGAATTTTCTCAATCTTTCGTACATTATGCTTCACTGTTGGAGGTAAATCAAAAATCACTTCTCCAAAATTCATTTTTATTTCTAGTCTGACGCGACACGGGCGCGTTTCGTAAAACTTATTACATTTTCAAAGACTTCACAAATACACAACTGATTAGAACTTGCGTTTCCCTGATTTTATATCTACATTTGAGTGAGGTGGGAAGGGTGATGTGGCATTACATTTGAGTGAGGTGGGAAGGATGATGTGGCATTAACACAAGACAGAACACTAGAGGATATTAATAGGGTATTAAAAGTATCAACACAAGACAGAACAGAAACAATGGGTATTGAATAGAAGTGTTTGTAGAAAGCCTATTGGTCCATATTTCTTGATGCTTCTATATTGGAGCGGAGTCCTCACTCAAATGTAGATATAAAATCAGGGAAACGCAAGTTCTAATCAGTTGTGTATTTGTGAAGTCTTTGAAAATGTAATAAGTTTTACGAAACGCGCCCGTGTCGCGTCAGACTAGAAATAAAAATGAATTTTGGAGAAGTGATTTTTGATTTACCTCCAACAGTGAAGCATAATGTACGAAAGATTGAGAAAATTCGTGTTAGAATTATTAATCTTACTTTTTCGGTCATATTTAATAATATATATATATATATATATATATATATATATATATATATATATATATATATATATATATATATATATATATATATATATATATATATATATATTGATAGTCGTAGTAATCATATTTAAAGTGATCTTAACAATTATAGAATAAAATATAAGAAATTGGTATGACAAAATATAAATAGTAACATAATAACTTTGACTTGTATAGGTAGCTAATTGGATAAAACAAAATAATAAGGTCAAAATAATTAAACACTAATAATATAAGTAATCGGATAAATCTGTAAGCAATAACATCTTAAAACTAAATAGCTGATATAATAGAAGCGTATATGGTTTTCATATGGTCAGGATTAGCATTGCTAATCGTATTTCATGTCAGGAACATGAAATATGGTTCACCACGTTTCCGCTCCCCGGGTGCAGCTGGAAGTGCAGTTGTCCTGACAATCAGCAATCACCTTGTGTGATTGATTGATTGTTCAATAAATCACTGAACTATATGTTTAACAGATCTCTCATCCTGTCCATGGAGGACAGAAGAAAATGTATATATGCTGGTTAGCACTGTAAATGTGTGGCCACGTCGGTGGTAGAAAATAATAATCAAATAAATTGGCGATGGCTTATACTTTGATAGGGGGGTCCGTATAAACAAACAACTGGGCCTCTGCCCTTCAGACCGAACAGTGCCTTGCGTCTTGCACTGAAATGTGTATAAGTCTCTAAACTTGATACATTAATTGTAAATGACTCTTTATCATCCTTAATTGCTCTCAACTCTTTAAGACATAACTGTAACATGCTCGTGTCTGATGCTAGACACAAATACAACAAAATTATTAATGATGGTAACAGAGTCCATTTCATGTGGACTCCATCTCATGTTAGCCTCCGAATGCATGATAGAGCTGGTGAGTTAGCCAAAGAATCTGACTTTAAAGGATAAATTGAGTATAACCTTGGATTGTCAATAATCAGTCTGAGAGCAATAGTACACCAAGAACTTCAACTAAATCTTGTTGATCTGAAGCAAAGTGAAATCGACACCAGTAATTCCATCTATCATCATGCTATCATGCAAGAGGAGCCCCACATATATGGATCATCCAATAAAATCAGCAGGCTTCTAGATGTTACTACTGCTCGGATTAGACTCGGTTACAGGCATCTCTGGGAATTCTCATTATCTGCAGATCCTGACCAAAGATACGTGAATTCAGAGACAATTCTATAACAAATGTTCCAGAGATGTCTAAATATTTAATTCAAAATGATCTGCTACCAGAAATCTTAGCCCAATACCCCCAGTTTGGTAATTGTAGGTAGTAACTAAGTGATTGTAACCTATCCACCGCTGCCCACTGGATGGGGGCGGTGTACAGGACAAATATATAAATTGTGATACTAGCTCTCCACATAGTAGGCATACTTCAGTTTCAGGAGCCTATGGAGTTGTGCTCTGGGTTGTCGGGCTGAAGTGGCCTCTCCAGGGCGCAAAGACAGGGTAGGTTGATACGAGGGAGAAGCTGTCACCCAAGCAGCAGGTACCCCTTCCACGGCGCCGAAAGTTTCCAGTGGAAAGGCAAATGCCAATACAATTGGTTCCTGTGCCGTTGCAGGAACTGTAAGAACGAGGTTGAAGGCAACAACGAACTGTCCTAGGGACTCCAACTCCGGAGTTAACTTCGAAGCTGATCGAGGTCCGGTTACACAACTGGAGGGGGCTTTGGTTACACAACTGGTCGGGCTCCGGTTACACAACTCGTGGGGCTTCGGTTACACAACTGGGCGGGCTCCGGTTAAATAACTGGTCGGGCTCAGGGGTGTCATTTTGGCTTGGGGTTGTGCATGGTTGTGATTCAGAGGTTGTTTGGTTCATGTATGCTAGGCTTGCAGTTACATAACTGGTCGGACTCGGGTTACACAATTGGTCGGGCTTTGGTTACACAACAGGTCGGGCTCCAGTTACATAACTGTCGGGCTCCGGGGGTGTCACTTGGGCTTCGGGTTGTGCATGGTCGGGCTTCAGTTCTTGCATGATTGTGCTCCAGGGGTTGTTTGTGTGCTAGTACCTCGTTTCTTTGCTAGAGGACCATGGTTGTTTCTTTGCTATGGCTGAGTGCATGTTTATTTTCTAGGGCTTCATTGTTGTATTTTTGCAAGAGTTCCAGGTTTATTTTTTTGAATAGGGCTCAGTTGTTTGTTTTCTTGGCTCCAAAAGATAGTTGTTAGGGTAAGGGGGTGGTGTTAGGTAGGGCTAAGTAAGGTTTGGTAGGGCTGAGAAGGGAGTTTGGTTGGGCTCTGTGACTTAGCTTAATGTGGGTTGGATGAGATATTTGCTTGCTAAGCCTACACAATTGGTCGGGTTCCGGTTACACAATTGGTTCGGGCTTCAGTTACATAACTCTGGGAGTGTGACATGTTGGGCTTCGGGTTGTGCGTAGTCTGGCATCTCAAAAGGATAGAGTAGCTCAAGCCATTTCTACCCTCCTACTAGTGTTATAGTGGCTCTCAGGTAAAATTCAGGTAAACTGTAGCTAGCTAGGTTAATTGGAGGTTGACTGAGGCTTCAAGCGGTTGACTAAGGCGTCAAGCGGTTGACTGAGGCTTGATTCTCCGTGGTCTCCGTGGTGAAGTTTTGAGTTCAGTCTTCGTGGTGTAGTGGTAAGACACTCGCCTGGCGTTCCGCGAGCGCTTTGTCATGGGCATCCTGGCCGGGGAGGATTTCCTGGGCGCAAATCCTTAACTGTAGCCTCTGTTTAACTCAACAGTAAAATGAGTACTTGGTTGTAACAACGATTCTTCGCGGTGGGGATCGTATTCCAGGGACCTGCCCGAAACGCTAAGCGTACTAGTGGCTGCACATGAATGTAATAACATTAATGTAATAGTCTGGCATCTCAAAAGGATAGAGTAGCTCAGGCCATTTCTACCCTCCTACTAGTGTTAGTGGCTCTCAGGTAAAACTCAGGTAAACTGCAGCTAGCTAGGTTAATTGGAGGTTGACTGAGGCTTCAAGCGGTTGACTAAGCCTTCAAGCGGTTGACTGAGGCTTGAAATGGTTGATCTGAAGCTTGAAGGGATTAGATGAAGCTTAGTTTAGTTCATTTATTATGCACCCCATACCCATCTTGTGGGCGGTAGCGGAAAGGGCTACAGAGGCACATAATGGGCTCAGGGACTGAACTCCACAATTCATTTAGCTAAGCAAGTTACAATCTTGATGAGCTAGTGTGAAGCTATTGTGTGAAGCACGGAGTGGATGAGTGAGCATGACGGAGGGGTGGTTCGAGGCTCCGGGTCGGGGTTCAGGAGAGCGAGCGCCTCGCCACAGTCGCCCCTCGCCAACAGTACCAAACGTAAACTATGGATGCGAGGTCGCTCGGCCCCGAATTTATCAGAACAGACCAAGTGACTGATCTGTGGTCTTTTCTCCAGACCGTAAGTTGCATCCGAGGCTCTGGAGTGCCTGAGGCGGCCACATGTGCATTGTATCGTTGTGTAGATGATGTAGAATTGAGAACATGTTGAGTGAGAGAGAGTTCGCTTCAGGCAGCCTTCAGGACTAGTTGAGTTTTCACTACGTTAGGTTCATTTGTTATCATGTGTACACAACTTATGTGACCTGGTGTCATATGTGCAGATATAACCGTGTATTTACTAGACTCCCACGAGTTTGAGGCTTAAAGGTTACCGTGTCAAGCCCAACGTCTGTAAACTCTTCACATTGGTTCTGTTATAATACAATTTTTGTGTTTGACAGGCCAAGTGGCACCTTCAAATTGTGATTCATTGGACTAAAACGCCATACCTGGTTACTTTACTTTTTATATTGCTGAAAGTGTGCAACAGTACCATGGTATTAAAAATTATAACTTGTCGCGAGTATAATTTCTCATTGACTACTACAATATTCTCATTACTTTTCAATGTAAAATTTACTATTAGCATCCAAGTGTGCACAATCCCTCTGCATGTATAATTCACAGGTATTGTTTACTTTCTTAAATATTAATTGTGCTTGTATAGTATGAGGCACTACAACGTCTAAGTCTCAGCAGTTTAGCAGTCTCCATGGTGTAGTGGTAAGACACTCGCCTGGCGTTCCGCGAGCGCTATGTCATGGGTTCGTATCCTGGCCGGGGAGGATTTACTAGGCGCAATTCCTTAACTGTAGCCTCTGTTTAACGCAACAGTAAAATGTGTACTTGGATGAAAAAACGATTCTTCGCGGCAGGGGATCGTATTCCAGGGACCTTAGGATTAAGGACTTGCCCGAAACGCTACGCGTACTAGTGGCTGTACAAGAATGTAGCAACTCTTGTATATATCTCAAAAAAAAAAAAAAAAAAAAAAAAAAAAGTATATATACCTCAAGTATTTTGTTAGCTTTAAGACTCTTCCAAAATGCTATTAATGTTAATGAAATTGCAAGGTTGCAATTTCATACTAACGTCGTCATATGGCCCTTAGTTGGTCGTTTTTATCAATATATAAGTAAATAGGTTGATGTTCCTGTAACCAATTAGTAAGAGCATACCCAGTTTGATATCTAGTATAACCATCCCGGTTTGGTGCCTTCTTTTTGATAGTTATTTACTTGATATCAAGTAGCATGGAAGGCCTACAATTATGCAGCATCAGTGATGTTATCAGTAAAAATGCACAGTATGCACAGTTATAAACATATAAGGAATAAATTTGTATATAATTTGTAGTATACATCTACAAAGAATTACCTAACCCAAGAATTTTATATTGAAAGATTTGAGGTTTGTGGCTACTACAATATTTGTATACTAGCCCATAGGGTATAATAATTAATATTTTGTAATATAAAGCACACAGCCTCAAAACAGTGCTACTACACTTTGCAGGTACGGTAGTGATATGCTGATGATTATTGGGACGCAAGAGGTTATTGTGTAAAGGATTTATTTACATACATAAAAATAATATAAATGTAATTTGAACATTCAGATGTTTTAAAGTATAGGCTAGACATGCTTGGTGTCGAAAGCATTTATTATATTTTATGATATTTACTTAACAGATTGACTGGAGTGAAGGATGGCTGGTTGGACTTGTAGTTTTTCACATTTTCCTCACCACGTTCACAGTGATGACTCGCAATCATCATACTACACAAGCTGTTCTTTTCTTCTTGCTACTTCTGACAGTACGCTCCTCAGAGACCATAAATCAATATGCAGCTAAAAACTGGCAGTCCTTCAGTCGTCAACAATACTTTGACTCGCAAGGATTGTTCATCAGTGTCGTTTTCTCAATGCCTGTTCTCTTCAACTGTATGATGATGGTGGTGAGTGGTTACTTTTTTTTATATACTGTATTATATATAATTATATATATAAAAAAAAATATATGTATATACATGTGTGTGCGTACATCTACACATTTGAAAGGTGAAATGATTGTATTAGTGATTTCAACTTTCTTAAGGTGTTTGTCAAAAACAAGATCATATTGCTTTTGACCTAGAACCCACAAGGGTTGAAAGCGCTAAAGCAGTCATTTCATCTTTCTAATGTGATAGGTGCATTTAATGGAGCAGCAATTATTGATCTCTTTGCATAAATATGTATGTATAAATAATTATTAAATATATAAATGTACAGTATGTGTGATATTGTACAGCCATTTTGTCAGTTATCATTTAAAGGATAACTGCACTTTAATTATTTATAAAACAAAATTGTATTTTGTTTCATCTGTTTTATTAGAAGTATAGCTAAGGTTTTGTTAAGCCAATTTTGATGTGTATAGATTGATGGTTGTCATGAATTGCATACTAGAAAATATTGAATGTATTGTAAGCTGAGGTCACTTTCCTTGTGAATTTTCCAAGAGGAAAACCCCCTTGAATGTGTGGAAAATTTGAACACTAACCTGTCATTGGAACTAAACAAAATTAATCTGTAAAAAAGTGTGCATGATTTAATTTTTTAATACAGTACTACTGTATAGTAATTTTACCTTTTGGAACTAATGAATGTTAATGTAAAGAGTAGCATGGTGTCGGTATATTTTGGTATATGTATGGTTTAAATTAATTTGGAGAGTAGATTTTCAAGGCTGGGAATCTGTACTGTAGCTTTCTTGAATCTGTATTGTAGCTTTTTTCTTAGCCATATTGATAGTTTTCTGTGGGGAGCCCTGTCGGCTCCCTGAAGCTATCCGAACTGATATGTGCTATATTAGCATGGGGTCATCAGTCACTGGAGTCCTTATGCCTACTGGGAACCATGAGCCCTTCAGAGAGGCACAGGGAGAAATGGCCTATGAGCACTGTACATTTAAAGAATTATCATAATTGCCTTCGACCAGGGAGGGCACCCAGAAAGAGGCGAAACAAAACAGACCACAGTCCGGTGAAAAATTGCGACCTACGCCTGAACATACTGTACCAAAAAAACTCCTCCAGAAAGAAAACAAACAAACAAGCAACACTTCATCCAACTAACACTCCTGCTCGTTAGTGCTACCCTCTCCTGGAGCCTCCGGGGCTTGCCCAGAAAATGGTGTTTCATTACATTCAATGCTGGGTTTTTTCCTTGTAATACTGTATATCTACCTTTGTCATTCTGAAGTATGAAGATTCTTGTAAAAATGTAGAAGTATTCTATATTATAGAGGCATGCATACAAAGATGTTAAAAGTAAGTTTTAAATTTTTCAGGCTTGATGTGTTTCAGGAATGCCACTCATGAAAGGATAGTGTAAACTATTTACTGCTTCACACTTGAAATAAAGTAGAGTACTGTACTAATAAAATTTTGTGTGTACAGATAAACTGGCTATGGCTGAGCAGTAGCATGATGGTCACCTGGAAGCGAGCTGAATTAGAGGCCAAGTTACGGAGCGATACAAAGAGACAAAACGAGTTGGGGAAAAGCAGTACAACCAGTCAAGAAGCCCCACCCAATGAGCCAGCAGCAGAAAGCAAGAAGAGTAAATGAATGGTTTGTAAGTTAGGTGTCTAGAAATTGGTTTAGACTGGACAACTTAAATTGCAACTTAAAACCACTGTGTCTTTGGTTATTACACTGCACCATTATAACTTTTGGCCTGTGTCCCCATAATTGGAGTTTAAGAGCTGCTTTTATTATATGTTTTAAGCTAAATGTTTTATCTTTAATCTTTTATCAGATAATGTGTTTGGATCACTAGATGACAGCAAAACAAAATTATACAAATTTCATTTATAACATATAATACAGTAAAATAAAAATCTTCTTTATTTGGTGTGTTTTGCATTAGCAATATTGATACTTTTTTGTAATTTATTATTCAATTTTGATATTTATTGTATTTACTGTACATAGGTCTTGGTCACAGTTGACTGATACCATATGAACATAGTTTCATAACACTGTAAAAATAAAAACTGTATATTATACTGTACAATATATGGCAAATATTTTAGTTATTTAAGCACTATAGTTTAAATGATAGTAGCATTCATTCTTTGATGTAAACAATTTTTTAAAATTAAGATTTATAAAATGACAATTTGTGGATTCATTTCATTCTAGTGGCTGTTAGTAGATTTTTTTGTTTTTTGTTTTTTGCTTTCAGAATTTGATAGTGTAGGCAGCGTGTCTTGATGTAAGCGTGTAGAAGCCTCGGTCATAAAAATTATATTTTGTAAACATGACTGCTGTTAAAAAAAAAGGTAAAGGTTATGTATATATAGTCATAGATGTATCCCAGTGAGAGTGTTGCATACAGTGTAGTGCAGTCAAATTTGAGTATCTGACATTTTCACATTCAACACGAGATTCAACCTTTCATAACCAAAATGCATGTTTGGGCAATTTACACTCGAGCACACACGCACACTCGCGCACACTATCTCGTTGAAATTCAATATACAGTATAATGAAACTGACAAAGAATCTTTATTTTTTTAGGTAATCCCCAGTCTATTCCAGCTCTACCTTAATAATTGTGAATATTTTAGATTTTATAGCTTTTGACTTCTCATGAATATACATTTTGATAAACCTTATTTCATATTGGTAATGGTCATACAGGCCAGTTCAGAATGAAGTTACTTTTAACTTATAAAAGAGCAAACTCATACATTGTCAATATGACTATAAAGGAATTGATAGTACTGTATTTAAATTAATGTTCTTTCCTGCCAGTATAACAAAGGCTGAGTGGCAGTGTCTGATCAAAGGATATCACAAACATCATTATTAGTTAATCAACCACCACCCACCCTCTTCTCCACCTTCTTCCCCCCCCCCCCCCCCCCCATCTGACCACTTGGGCTGGACGGTAGACAGACGGTCTCGCTTCATGCAGGTCGGTATTCAATCCCCGACTGTCCAAGTGGTTGGGGGCCAATTTTTTCCCTGTCCCATCCCAAATCCTTATCCTGATCCCTTCCCAGTGCTACATAGTCATAATGGCTTGGCGCTTTTCTTAATAATTCATAACATTCCCCCCCCCCCCCCCACCCCCGCACCTCTGCACTCCAACCCTCCTTGGCCACCCATCCTACCCCCCTTCACCAATCCTACCCATGTCCTCATTGTTCACTAATCCTACTCTCAGCCTGTTTTCCACCTGTTCACCCTCTATCCCCTCCTATATCCCCCCCACAAAAAATATTGTTTGTCAAGAAATCTCAGTATTTTAGTTTTGTTGATACCAGAACAAGTCTAAATATGAAATAAATCAAATTACCAGAACATCACTTTTGAGGTTTACTGTAATATTACACCACTGTTTGAAACATTTATGAAAATGGGTCTTTTGTAATTTACAGTAAATAGTTATTTGATAATCTTGCTTAAATGTCATTGACATCTTGATTTTGCTGATTTACTAATTCCAACCATCATATGTTGAGTGCCAAATTGCGTACCTCTTTGATATTGTCTTTGCGAGATGGTATCAGTTGAACTGCATTATGGATTTTTGATATTCAAAATTACTAAATATTCTTTTTTGCAAGTTTGTCTGGCATTGGAAGTTTTAAATGGCAAAGAATTCGGCCAGGCATTTTCTTGGCTATCTTATTGTCCTGTTTCATCACTAAATGGATGTTTAGTAAAACAAATTTGCATTGGTCTAATACTACTGTACATGGCATTTCTGTAGTCAGGCTTATTGTTTTGGATTGTCCTAAATAAATGCATTGGTATACAGTGGTACCTCAGCTTACGAATTTAATCCGTTCCCAGATTCATAAGCAATAAGCAAAAAATTTGTAAACTGAAGTGCATTCCTCCATAAGAAATACTGGAAATTGAAATAATCTATTCCAGACTCCCCAAAACATTAACTTCAAAAGTAAATTTTATACCTAATACCTAATTTGCCCAAATCTCAATACTAAAGTATGTACAAGTTATCACTTACCTTTACAGATCATTCTTGGTGTATGGAAGACGGTGAGAAGGGGGGGGGTAAGAGGAGAGGTGTTAGTGTTTGGAAGGGGCGTCCCCTTCCATTATAACATCAGGCAGTGATGTACAGGAATCGTAGCAGACGGGTGGAAACAGGCTAACATAGTTCCAATCTACAAAAGTGGCAGCAGGGAAGACCCCCTCAATTATAGACCTGTATCATTGACAAGTGTAATAGTGAAAGTATTGGAAAAACTAATCAAAACTAAATGGGTAGAACACCTAGAGAGAAATGATATAATATCAGACAGACAGTATGGTTTTCGATCTGGAAGATCCTGTGTATCGAATTTACTCAGTTTCTATGATCGAGCCACAGAGATATTACAGGAAAGAGATGGTTGGGTTGACTGCATCTATCTGGACCTAAAAAAGGCTTTCGACAGAGTTCCACATAAGAGGTTGTTCTGGAAACTGGAAAATATTGGAGGGGTGACAGGTAAGCTTCTATCATGGATGAAAAATTTTCTGACTGATAGAAAAATGAGGGCAGTAATCAGAGGCAATGTATCAGAATGGAGAAATGTCACAAGTGGAGTACCACAGGGTTCAGTTCTTGCACCAGTGATGTTTATTGTGTACATAAATGATCTACCAGTTGGTATACAGAATTATATGAACATGTTTGCTGATGATGCTAAGATAATAGGAAGGATAAGAAATTTAGATGACTGTCATGCCCTTCAAGATGACCTGGACAAAATAAGTATATGGAGCACCACTTGGCAAATGGAATTTAATGTTAATAAATGTCATGTTATGGAATGTGGAATAGGAGAACATAGACCCCACACAACCTATATATTATGTGAGAAATCTTTAAAGAATTCTGATAAAGAAAGAGATCTAGGAGTGGTTCTAGATAGAAAACTATCACCTGAGGACCACATAAAGAATATTGTGCAAGGAGCCTATGCTATGCTTTCTAACTTCAGAATTGCATTTAAATACATGGATGGCGATATACTAAAGAAATTGTTCATGACTTTTGTTAGGCCAAAGCTAGAATATGCAGCTGTTGTGTGGTGCCCATATCTTAAGAAGCACATCAACAAACTGGAAAAGGTGCAAAGACATGCTACTAAGTGGCTCCCAGAACTGAAGGGCAAGAGCTACGAGGAGAGGTTAGAAGCATTAAATATGCCAAAACTAGAAGACAGAAGAAAAAGAGGTGATATGATCACTACATACAAAATAGTTACAGGAATTGATAAAATCGACAGGGAAGACTTCCTGAGACCTGGAATTTCAAGAACAAGAGGTCATAGATTTAAACTAGCTAAACACAGATGCCGAAGAAATATAAGAAAATTCACCTTCGCAAATAGAGTGGTAGACGGTTGGAACAAGTTAAGTGAGAAGGTGGTGGAGGCCAAGACCGTCAGTAGTTTCAAAGCATTATATGACAAAAGAGTGCTGGGAAGACGGGACACCACGAGCGTAGCTCTCATCCTGTAACTACACTTAGGTAATTACACTTAGGTAATTACACTTCTGGGGTGTACTCTCCTGTGTTTTCCAGGCATATCACTAGAACCTGCTTGTGGCTCGCTGCTTGATTTTCTCACTATAAAACGATCCATAAAGAATTGTTTTCCCTTCGTTGTAACACTTGTCTGTAGTGAGGCATCACATTGTCATTAAAAAGGTTAATGCAATGGCCTACTACAGCTTGCTCTGGGCGAGTGGTTTCAACAAAAGCTTGCATTTCTTCCCACAGCCTACACCACTTTCTAATTATTGAGGAAGGGACATTCTCTACTGCCTTCCTTCCCTGAAGACATTTCCTCAGCTGCCTCTTGTTGCTGCTCCTTTGAAGGGCTAGAAGTAATCCGGTGGTCAGTACTTCTCCGTGTTCCTCCAACTCCTCCACATCAGCACCATCCAACTCCAAGCCCAATTTTTGGCCCAGAGTAACAATTTCCTCAACAGTAGGCCCTTCAGGTTCAGGCTCAAACCCCTCAAAGTCTAGTTCTGAAACACATTCAGGCCACAATTTAAGGACTGAACCTTACCACTGGCTTTCTTAGGCCCCATGGTGAGATATATATAATAATAACTTATGTTCAAATACCCCAAATTCCGAAAAACGCTGGAATTCTTTTCAAAGAATTCAGGCGCGATTGCTACTAGGTAGGAGGCACTGGTAAACCGAGGCATGATTGCCGTGCCACCACACGCCAGGTCGGCCATACACGTATCAACAAACTCGTGTCCTGAGGCAAAGTTCATAATCCGATTCTCATTTTCCGAAGAAATTGGGCTCATAGCCCGAAAAGTTTGTAAATAGGGCCATTCGTAAGCTGAGGTGTCACTGTAATTGGAGATCTTTTATACTTGTTCACTAAAGAAAGAATAAGGTCTAGAGCTTTATCTTATAAGAAAGGTAGTGCAGGAGTAGAGGATTGAGCCATTTTTTACTTGTAGGAAGTTGTGGTTATTTTGGCAGAGTTCTAAATGTGGGTGGTAGAACATTGGTACCCAAAAACCTGCTTCTAAGCATTTAATGTGCTACATTGTACTATATGACTTAAGTACAAAATTTGAGCCCATATACTTCAAACTGTTGACTTCCTGGGAGTTTCCTATGTTGTCACTTTGCTTGAATATTTTAGGCTAATTAGATTTGAAGTTGCACATTTATAAAAAATATTGTGCTACCACAAGACTAGGAAGTTTTCTTTTGGTGGACTTTTTGGTGCACATTTTTAATGTTCTAATTGCTTTACTAAGGATTTCTTGGATCTATTTACTCTGCAGTTCTGGTTGCAACATGGCAGTTTTTATTTGGTAGACTTGATTAAGGGGAAAGGGAATTATCAGGGAAAGAACCAAGCCATTATGACTATATAGCACTTGGAAGGAATCTGGACAAAGATTTGGGATGAGACGGATGGAAGAGGAATGGTACCCAACCACTTGGACGGTCGGGGATACTCCTAATTAAATTTACTTCCATTTCCTTCCATTAAATTTTGTAAAATAATTTCTTGAAATAATAAAAATTTCTAGTGGTCTGTTTTGTGAAGCTTAATTGTTAATTATTGATTTGATGTTGGGTTCTATAAATTGTAGGTTATTTTGCTCTTCAATATTTAACATTTAATGAAGATAGTTCCTAAATATTAGTATTTCTGTAATTAAACTTATATTAGGGACTTCACTACCTATCCCCTTGGTCATTAAGGTTTTAGAAAATAGTCACTTGCACTATGCGATATTAACATAGCCCTGAGCCACTTTCTTCTTAAAAGACAAGTTAACCATTCTTTCCTAAAAGGATCTATTAACCTTAACTTAAAATGGTAGCTTTTAAAATGTTACACTGTATATACCATTTAGAATTAAACAAAAATTGCCATTGGAGAAGCTTAGAGTAAACTTGCTTTCATGATGCTGAGGTAACTAGTCCTGCTGGACCACTTAGGTCATGCACTTAGATCAGATTCTTCTGCTTGCTTTTTGAAAATGTTGAGTTTACAAATTAAAAACAAATTCTACCATTGTGCCTTCCACTGTTTTATGTTTGTTATGCTAATGTATGATACAGAATTTTTATCTTAATATCCTGACATACATTTCTCAGGGCAAGCAGGTGATGATGCATAATGCTCAACCCAGCATGTAGATTTTACACTAAATGCTTTGACTGTTTTAAACACTCAATTCCTTGAGTGGTACTATCCCTCAAACCCTGAAGAGAGCAAATATGGAGATATCAAGTAAGTTAAATAGAGGAAAATGTGTATATTGATGTATATTATATAATGTATGTTATATAATATATATTTATGTATGTTTATATTATAGAATGTATATAGATGGTAACTATCCTGAATAGACTTGCTCCAAACATTTATGATAAATAGTTTAGTAGTTGAAGAGTTTCATTGTTGCCATGACGGAATTTGTCGGTACATAATTTAGAATCTCGTGAAAAACTGTAACTGAATTTCAATGCTAGTCTCCTCGTGGATAGGTACATAAATTTTCCTTGTTACTAGTTGCAGATATAAATTCCATTAATCTTTAAAGGAACTACAAGCTTGCTTTGTTAAGGATTATACTCCGTAGATTTTTCCTGAGCCGTATTTTATTAGTAGTAGTCAATCATGTTTACTTCATAATGAAGTTTTCCAAAAGTGCCAGAGGCTCAGGCAGATAATGGCTGTTTTTTCACACCGGTATAAATAGTTGCTAAAATTTTATTGACTTTAAATTTTCTCCAGGAACATGTGGTCTAGGTGGTCATAGGCTTAGCCCAGAAAGTTATGTTGATGGTTGGGTTGAATAGTGAAGTAAAATTCACATATTTGTAATACATTTAAATATGTACCCTTGATTTCTAAAGTTCTATTAAATATGAACATTTGGGTGTATGAGGACAGAAAATGTCATGTTGTAAGTCTGGTCAGATGTTTAATTTGTGCATTTAATTGGTCTGGGTTCCAAAAGATTAGTTACCATTTCAAAAACCTGAAGTCATTTTGTGCCATAGGTTACAAAAGGCAGCTGTGACTGTTAAGTATTATTAAATAAAGTTTTATTGAAATAATGGGTATTTATTCTATCATTTTGATACAACAAAATATTTACATTAGTAGGTCCTGATCTTAGTGAAGTGTCATATTTCACAAGTGTTCATGATTAGTGTATGATTCACACACAGACTGCTTACTGATTTTGATCTCGGCAACTCAATTTTACGGATAATCTGGCCAAAATTACAGTTTGACATACAGCTTAGCTGTTTGGTTATTTGATGACTTGGAGCAGTCTGTTGACAAATACTTCTACACACATTAAAATATGGTTTTTAACAACATAAATTTTAACATTGCCACAAATTATTTCAATTATTGCCACTGTTAGAAATACTGGTTTTCCATGCTAAAATAATTGGACTGTCCTATCACTCAAGCGAGCCATGCATTTATCTTGTGTAATACAAGGTGGTGAGTGTCAAGGATTTTCTTTACTTAAATTATTTGTTTTACAAACTTTGCTGTTATTGTACAGTTAAATGTGAGAGTTGGATATTATGTCTCCACTATTAACACTAAGGCAGTCCGGCCTGTTCGTGCATTCTTGATCAAACATTCTATGGGACCAAGACATTATGGAACCCATAATCCCAGAGAAGGATATAAAAAGCAATCGGAGAAACTTCTTGTTTGACTAAATACATAAGAGTACTGACTTCCTACCACACCTTTTTTCTTATGTACAATACTTCATTATGCAAGAATACACAACTAAATGTGAACATTAAGAGGAATGCATAGGGAGTTTGTTCCCTAAAGGCTGTAGATTTCTTTGAACATCAATGCTGGGCAGAAACTGAGGATGCAGTTGGAATTTTCCCTCTGGATTGCCATGCCGAGGCGCTGGAAAAGGAAGCTTGCTGCTCTATTTCCTTGTTTCAATGAGCCTGGAACCCAGATCTTTGAGAAGTCTGGCACACAAGCTATTATTTTCATTTGTTACTTGTTACCTAGTGATTGATTTCTTGGAATAGACTGCCTGGCTAAAGTGAGACCACCAATGTCTGTAACAGATGGTCGTCTGCTAGCCAAGGTAACAGCTTGCTCTGACAGGTCATTTGCCCTGTGTGGTAATGCTCAGTTAGGTGTATTGTCTGATCATAGGATCACACAGGATAATTCTTGACTGCAGTGTTCAGTGTTATATTACTTGTGTTAAGTATTTATTTCACATTTGGATAGTCTATGCTTGATTGTATTTAACTGTATTTAATTTACTGTCTCAGAGTGGACTAGAGTATTTTGTACATGCTAAAGTACATGGTCAGTGTGTAAGAGAGAGACCCTTGTGTAGGGAGAAATATAAGTGCTATTGAGAGAGACCTTTGTATAGGGATCAACCTGGTACCTGATCAACCAGGCTGTGACTCATACGTCAGGCTGCGAGCAGCCGCGTCTAACAGCCTGGTTGATCAGTCCAGCAACCAGGAGGCCTGGTCGACGACCGGGCCGCGGGGACACTAAGCCCCGGAAGCACCTCAAGGTAGCCTCAAGGTAGGTAGGGAGAAATAGCAGAGTATTATGTAAGAGAGACCCTTGTGTAGGGAGAAATAGCACTGTTAAATGTTGAAAAAAAAGTCTGGAACTCGACCCCTTTCAGATGCACATAGCATCATCTCAACAGGAAAATGTAATCCCCTAAAAAATGACCCAATGTAAACAAAAGGAATAAAATGGTTGAAGAAAAAGCAGATTCAATGCAAGAAAATATAAGAGAAACAACAGTTAAATATAGAAAAACAGCCAGAAACATTATAAGACATATAAATGAAGTATTGGGAAATGTGTGTGACATGTATAGGGAGGGGACATTATTGGAACCAGGCAGACAGGGACATGGGCAAGCCCCTGTCAGTCACTTGGGAGAGAGAGACAGTGACAACCGGACCTGTGTCGTGGATGGTCTCCAACAAACACGATAAGTGCAGTATTATAGATGTTTATAGTGGTGCTTCCCCTTTTCTTTGAGATAGGAATTACTGGAAATAAGGATTTTTGGAACCTTGTGTGTAGGGAGAGTGGTGTGTTGTTAATTCAGGTGTATGTGCTCAGCTGTGTGTCACATGGGGAGATTATCCACATTTATTTTGTAGATTCATTTGTAAACCCCGGCCCTTTGTAGTGACCTAAGAGGAGTGGAATAGAGTAATGACCTTAAGTCCCAGGTTGTAGAGGGAGAAGGACCCTCCTCCCCCCTTTTTTTGTCTGTATCAATCCTGTGGTGGATCCAAGTACCCCCCCCCCCCTGTTCTAAGAAGTGTGGGGAAATCTGGTGTTTGTTAAATAAAATCCTTTTGTAAAATTGTACCTGTACCCCAAGGTGTATTTCTAGTCCCATGTAGTTAGAACTGGTGACTATTACTATATAGACCCCTGCACTTCCACTATTTATAAGAAAGTAAGAGTGGGTGTTGTTAGCGACACTTTAGGGTACGGCTTTCAATCTCGTTCCTTACAAGTGGACCAGTTATGTAAATGATTACATTGTTTATATTGTCATTTGTTATTGTGCTATCTTTTGCTGGGATTGATAGTTGACATATTATTGTATACTGTACTTCGATCTTTTGCAAATCTGTGTCAAGATATTCCTGTGCATCACTCACATTTTTGCCTGCAGGTGTTTTGTAAGTATAATAATCAAATATCAGTTGATTTCCCTTGTGGTTTGCCAGTGCCAAAAAATGTAATCATGTGTATTCAGCGAGAATCAATCTGTGGCCTTACAAGCGGCAGGAGAAAAGTTCCAAATTTGTTTAACTTTTTGGGACAGTGATACTGAACTCAGTATTACACACAGTTCCCTTAGGTTAACACATTGAAAGCATATGTAACTAATTTATTTAAATCGAAACCATTTTCCCCATAATGCTCTCACATGACTCCCTATAAGATTTCCTGGATCAATGATTCTTGACACCATCTCTAGGGTAGAGCTGCTTCATAGTTTTCCATCATGTGAATTTGATGCAAGACCCCCCTTAGCAAGTGTTGTTTGGATAGGACAATAACCCGACGCAAGATTATGATAGCACAAAGTAATTATCGCTACCTCGGCCACTACCTGGAGAGGGTTCCGAGAGTTGTTCTACTCCCCTAGCCCAGCCTGAGGCTCGACTTGTGATTACTTGGTCCAACAGGCTGTTGCTTGGCGTAACTAGCGTCTTGGTTGGCTCGCTGTATAATCTCCTTGGTTTGGTGACCTCTTTTTGATTATTGCTTCTTGTTGGCTTATTGGGTAACTACATGGGCTATTACAAAGAGCAATTGTAGGTCCTCTGTAAGAACACAGACATTATGCTGTGCTGTAGTGCTAGTTTTCCAGGCTCGGCTCTTTTTGATAATTACTTCTGGAGCAAAGTGTCTGCTGGAAATAGATGTCAAGGCATAGGTAGATTTGGAGGAAGTGATTTCATGTAGGATCTTGAACACAATGCAATAACTTGTGACAAGGTTAAAATCAAACAAAAATCATTTCTATTTATTTGTGAAAAATGACATCACTAGAAGGCATTTCTTGAAAAGTCAAATAATTGTTTATAACCACTGAGACTAGAACAACATTTAAAAAATAAAATAAAATAAAAAGTTTGCACAAAGTGGCTGTCTGCAATTAGTCTGGATTGTGAACCACAGAAAATACACATTCCCAATTAATCAAATCATTAGTAGCATGGAGAATCAATACAGTACCAGATGTTATTTATGCTAGGGATGTGATCACTATGGCTCTCTTGTTGCCTTCAATATCAAATACTGGGTATAGTGAAGTTTAAGGTGCCATTATCTTAATGTAACACATGAAATTCCACCTGGTAATTCTAAAAGGCTGTACCTTGTTCCTATAATTGTTTTATTTTTGTTATATTGCCTTTTCCATGTGATATTTTTAAGCTTTTAAATGTTTATGCAAAGTATATATTTTCTGTAATACTTTTTTATATACTGTATCAACAGTGAAGGTTATTCATGTCCCAAAATAAATAGCACAGATTTTGTGCTTAATGTCAGAGTAAAATATAATTATATATATATATTTTTGTTTTGTTTTAACTTTTACTGAACATTACTCTAAATTTGTTGCCCAAGTTAATATTTTAAAAATTTTATGCAGTTTAATTAATTTTCTATTTCCTTATTGCACCAACATTAGTTTGTCTAACAATTTTTTATTTTCTTGAAACATTGTTTCTAAGTTTAAATGATTTACTTTGGGACACTGAAGTGCAAAATGTTTTCTGGAATGCATCTCCATGTTAAACTGGGATTTAACTGTACTGAATGTACACACGTTATATTAGTGCATGTAATTTTGTACATTTATTCACTTTTTCATTTTTGCCAAACATTTTTTGTTTAAATGGAATCCAGTCCCAATTAATCAGAATTACTGTAGTGTGACTTGGATTTACAATACTGTATTGTATTGCCTTTATAAATGTGATAATATATTCAGCCTTTTAATTAAGATGCACTAGATATGTAATGGAAAGAACTGAATATAGTAAATACCAACACGATAGCAAAAACATGTATTTTTATATTAAACAAGCATTTAAACCATGTAAAACTATCATTACCTGTACTAGTATTTATGGCAACAATTTAACACTTTAAAGCAGAATAAATTAAACTTTAGTGTGGAACATCCTCCAACTGGAATGTAATTTACTTTATGCTTAAATTTTATTAACAGCCATTTGGAGATTACCAAGAGAAGTGAATATCTGAAAAGTCAGAACTAAAGTATTATCTACATGTAATGAGTTAAATATTTAGCTAAAACAGCAAGTTAAATTTTGAAACCAAAAGCTTTCACAAGTATGAATAGCCATTTGTTTTTTAATAATTAGAGTATGAGTAATATTCTGGTACTGAGTTGATATACTCAAGCTCACTTGTATCATTCCCAGGAAGAACTTCTGTATTTAACAGTAAATATATCGGTGACAGCTTAATGCTAAATTACTTATTATACCAGTCAAAATGGTTATGTAGCAAACCGGTTTTCAGCACTGATAAAGGTGTCATGCAAATAAAATGATTTAATGTTGACTGAATTGTATATTCTAGCTCAACTTTCATAACATATCAATACAATATACACAAATACTGAATAACTTCAAGAGCATTTCACATTCAAATTTGTATATAAAAAGAAAAAAGAAGTTTGTGCAGCACACCTAACAACAAAAATTGGATAGCTATGAATTCCAGCAATCTCTTAATATTTTGTAGGTGTGTCCAGTGCAACACTGGCTGCACTCCTGCTCGCGTTTCACTGATCCCACTGTTTGTATTCCATGCCATCCGGAGGCTTTACCTCCACTTTCTGACCAGCTACTTCTTTCCAGTTTGTGCTGAGGACTGTACCACCTGATTCCATCTGGAAATGTTAATTGAGCCCAATTAGCAAGTTGAAAGCTACGAGGGGACGAGTAAAAAAAAAAAAAAAAAAAAAAAAAAAAAAAAAAACCACCCCCCCCCCCCGGGGGGGGGGGGGGGGGGCAAACAAAATTTGAATAAGAATTATCTACAGCATATCCTATAATTAATTAGGTACCAAGTAATTATGGAAGAGCTAAGCTCAGTGTGTCATCTTCCCCATTTGTCAGAAATGTCTGAAGCCACCAATGATACTAACCCACTCTGGCAACTTATTTTATGTCTACTGCACTCTTCACAACAAAATAGAATATTTAACGGCACCTATCTTTTCTTAACTTGTACCAATGTCCTATTTTTTTTATATCCATCAATCTTTTTATACAGTGATCACAAACTATTTAAATTTTACATGGTTAGTGCCCCCCAATCTTTCATCAAGAGACTGTTGTAAGACCCAGGAGTCATTCAGTGGCACATATTTGAACCTTTTCTGTTTTGCCTCAGCCCGTCCTTGAAACAAAGACCCCAAAGTGATTTCATGCACCCGCCAAACCCCCTGTTTATGAATGAAAAACGGTTTACACACAACTCGCAGCTGTTGACGTTCAAACACTTCCGGAACAAGTGCTTCCCTGACGAATTTTGTTCGAACCACAACGCTGTAAATGCTTCACCCACATACTACAAATACAAATAATCGCCAACGAAACCTAAACACCTAACCTAACCTATGCCTATATATGCACAGAGCGCTATTATATGTTAATTTATATAAGTAAATTTCCGTTTTGAATGAACAGCATGTAAAAATTTATGAATGCTCCTGTGGAGTTGACCACTGAATGTAATGGACTTGAGTCAAGTATTGGTTGTTTGGCTACAGTATAACATATTATGTATTCCATGTATGCTGTTGCTACCCTAATGTCAGCTTACTTTCAAAGATCACTCCAAAATCTTGTTACTTATCAGAAATGTCCTGTAGTGTCTTAATATATATTGTATCAGCTGTATGTGTCCTGGTCCAGTTGATCCTGAACACCATGTTGCATTTATCCAAATTAAATTACTTTAGCCATGACGACTATGAGAATGAATTGTCTAGAATTAATGTAAGTTTGAAGGGCATCTTATTCTTTTCAGTATATTTTCTTAAGTTCTGTACATTAGAGGAGTGACAGAAGTTTGAAGGGTAAAGCCAAAAGTCTTTACTAGGTCCAGTCAGATAGATGCAATCTGCCCATCTCTCATACTATACTGTATCTTGGTAATTCTTATGAAAACTAATTACTGTTTAGTAATTACTAAGCCATGAAACTTCCTGTCCAAGTTAGATATTATGGCATTTCTTTCAAGATGTTCCACCCTTTCATTCTAATCATCTGTTCAAGCCAGCAATTTAGCTACCACACTAGTCAACATGTCTTTGGATTTTCTATGTCATGTTATGAATAGGGACAATTTCGTTGGCATAGATATCTATGAAAAATAATCTATACTGGATAGCAGATTTAATGTGCATACAATCTCTCTCTGGTGATTTTTTTTTTCACCTTGTTTTGAGACACATCTACGTACTTTAAGGTATGACTCAGTATATGTAATGCATCTGGTGCCGTGAACTCAATTTGTTGGAACACACACACTATGGTTTATTTTTTGTCATGCCTCAAACATTTCCTCCCATTTCTAGTAAACAGTTTTCCACCGTTAATTTCTGAATTTTATCCAGGGATTCTCTAACAATTCCTATTGAACCAAACCTTTCATCTTTCCCAATTGGAGTCATTAATCTCATGCAAGTTCCCAAAGAATACATTTTTGAAGCCAGGTTCCTCCATTACCTCCTTTTTTTTTCAAAACTTCACATGACTACAAAAATTTGAAGGTGGTACTAAGTTCAATATTCTTCTCAAAGAAGAGGAAAGGAGCTCTAATGAGCCAGCACCATACACTACAACAGGAAGGGGGTTCAACCAGGATCGATTCCACACTAAACAAATGAAAAAAAAGAGTATCAGAGGCAGCAATAGTGGCCTTCAGGATAAAAAATAAAACCATCACACCCTGCACATGCAAGAATCAAGTTGTGAGCCTGGATGGAGGCACCATGCTGCACCCACCAACAAGGTATACCATCAAGATGCTCATACTATTCAAATCACTTACTATACAACCCTGAGTACTGTTCAATACTTGCTTCTTTTAGAGCAGGTGAGGTCGTTGAAATGGAGGGAATAACAAGAACATATATGGCATGCATATCATAAAGCACCTAAATTATTGGAACTGTTTCAAAGCTCTCAAAATGTACTCTGGCAAGGAGAAGAGAAAAGTATCAAGCAATATATGCATGGAAAATACTGGAAAGCCAGGTCCCAAATTTGCACAGTGAAAATATACTGCAGCAAACAATACTGTAAGAATTGTATAATAGAGCCAGTGCCACAATCAGAGAACACTGTATGAACAGAGGTGAATGGCTGTTCAATATCTTCCTAGTAAACATAAGAAATATTGCCTAAACAAAAGTCGCCGTTTTCAAGAAAAAACAAACGGTTTCCTGCAAGAAATGCCAATCCAACCAGGTTATACTGGTTGGTGGGCCTGTAAGCTGCTCCACAGAACAGTATTAGACTAAGTTATCATAAGTCATGCCTGGGCCCCAGGCTGTGCTTGGGGACTAGAAGAACTCCCAAAACCAACTCCAGGTATGATCCAGGTAACTAACATGCCATGAAAACCAAGATAAAAGGATGCTAGACTTGGCAATCCCAGATACACGTTTGGTGTACCTGCCATGCCCTTATAAAAAACCTATGACTAAAACATGTCAAATGGAGACATTCATGTCAAATTCCCAACTTCCAACCGTTTCAACGATGCTTTCTACAACTTGTTGGAGTAGGGACTAAAAGGATTAGTTCCAAATCTGCACTCAGAAATAACACCACAAGAGGCATAGCAGGATGTGCAAAATAATGCCACTTGGCACAGTGATAGAGATCTCGATCAACATCAGGGCCCACGACTTCAACACTTCCTCTACACATATGGGGCATAACTGGCCAACCTCTTTCAGTGTTCAAAAGAGAAGTTGGCAAACACCTTTAAAGGTTACCTGATCAACCAGGCTGTGACTCGTATGTCAAGCTGCTGGCAGCCGCATCAAACAGCCTGGTTTATCAGACCATCAACCAGGCGGCCTGGATAGAGACCTGGCCGTGGGAAAGACGATCCTCAGAAACATTGACAGGTAAGAAAGTCCACATTTCATCATTCAATATTCTCCAGAAAACTTCCAATATTTATAAGAAAACTTTCTTATAAATACTGAAAATTGAGTACACAAGAAATAAAAAGTTGATTCCAGATCAGATTGGCAAAGTACTTACTCTAAGCTCACTTTTGCACTAAAATAGCTTCAAAGGCCAGTGCTCTGCTACCACAAAACTTTAAGAGCACTCATAAGTGACAAAAACAGTATGTACAACACAGTGGCATTGTACATTTTATGCACAGATGCCCACTACCAAGTTCTGTTCACAACTGTTCTGTAATTAAGTTGTAATGTTTTAAACACTACAAAATTATCTGTATTAGCTCAAACAAACAAAAGTGTAGCAATGAACAATCATAAATCAGCTCTCAAGTAGACACAGTAAGAAATGAGATATTAATTGTACACCAAACAAAATACCAACATTGTGATTACTAAAAAATATTAAAATTATGATGTATTCATAAATATAGCTAATTAGGATTTTAAACCCACAAACATACTCTGCTTTTTCCCTTGCAAATATTCCTATATGTGTCTGACATTCCTCTTTATGGACAGCGTAGTACTGTACTTACAAAAGATTTATTCATGGCTCGTCGTGTCTCGTCTGAACCCTGGCCATAAATCTTCTGGAAGAGCTGGTTTAGTGCAGCATCCCCTTCCAACTTCTCTTCCTCTTCCTCCTTCTTCACCTCTGCTTCCAATTTGTTCCAATCATGTTTTTTAGTTGAAGAAGATGGATAGGATGCAATTTTTCCATCTGTGGATGCTGCTGAGAAGAGTGCAAATATGTACTTAAAATTTTCTATAAGAGTACTGTATTTATAATGGTAAGTCTTATCTATCTGCTCATGATGCAACCTTCCTATAGCCAGCAAGGTTACATGGCTCCATTATAGTATTTTAAGAATGGGTGACCATCACACACTACTGGTACTCTCTCACAGCTATACATTACATATTTCAATCTATCATTCCACCTTTATCTCTATTATCTCTATTGTACACTACAATTCACACCTAATTAAGTATACTCTTTAGATTGTTCAATTACAGTTCATTTACATTAAGAAAATTACCTATCATAATTTCAAATAAAAATAGAACTGCAAACAATTCATAGAAAGTAAATGGGAGGCAATTTGATGCCCAAATATTTTGTTATGCATTTAAAAGATGTCGCTGCTAGATAAGAAAAAAAGAATACAAAAATACTATCGATAACAATCACCTGTTGGATTCGATTTGACACTCGGAGTGGCACCATCTCCCTCAAGTGCTGTCCAGCGAATACCATCTGCCTTCTTCAATTTCACTTCTATCTGAAAACAGATATGAACATTTCTCAGAGAATACTGTATAAACGTATCCACAATATATATCACTATTATATACCACGTGATATATCACACTATAGGGATTTCTGTGTGTATAGAATACTGTATACATTTGTTTAAACTTAAACTAGAGAATCTCACTGGAAATGGAAGCATTGTTTAATTTTGAGAGGTGCATGTAAATACACTGTACTTATATCTACCTCTTGAAACAACGTTTCCTTTATGAGATTTACTCCCATTGTATAAAGATGTTTTTTTCCATAACCTGTAGATATTTCTATCACCCCTTAAGTTTTGAGGAGTGTAGTAGCATCTAAAGTATTTTTAGAGCAATTCAGCATTTATCTATACTTTGCATGTCAATACAGTATCTAATTCTGTAACATTAGAAAAATAATAAAACTTCACAGACTGCACAAAAAGGTACTATGGGAGATGAAGTCCTCTAAAGGAGTCATTGGGGGCCTACCCCAATCCACCTGTGACAGTCCTCTCACACCCAACAGTCATCATTCAAGCATCAATGAGGCTAGCTCCAAGCATCTGCCCTCCAACCTAGAGCAGAGACAGACACTCATCCTATTTTATACAGATGTAAGTACGGGTATCTAGAATTTATCATTGTTGCAAATCATGTTATTTTCTGTTGCCCAGTAGAAGACTGTTGATCTGTTTTTTTTTTTTTTTTTTTTTTGTGATTTTTATGTTGATTTTGGCCTCGTCAGCAAAGGATGACATGTAACTGATTTGTACTGTAGGTATGTGTAGGTGCAGTATATATTCTAAGAATTAAAATTGACTAAAGTTAACTTGCAAAGCATTACAAATTCTCAAAGTATACCTCAACTAATAAGGTGTCTAAATGTAGTGTGCTAGTGGCATATAAACATACTGTTGACCCAGTGTTACTTTCTTGTAAGCCTTTAAAAATAAATGAAATTAAAGTAAATCAGTCAATTCACCGAGAACTTACTTTAGAAGGCACAACTCTGAATGAAGACCCTGATGGGTTAATCGGATGACACATATCCAACTCTAGGCTATATTCTGATCCAGAAGGCAATGGTGCTGATACACTTACCTAAAAAAAAGAAAACAAAAAATAGGAAGTTGAGTATAATAAACCACACTTTTCTGAACTGGTCCCTTGAATTCTGTGGGCTAAGTCTCAAAGCACTGTGAATTCAGTGACATAGGCAACTGCTATGCACTACCAGCCCTGAACTGTAAGATTGGAAAAATATCAAGGGACAAACAAAAAATCAAACTCACACACATACACACACAAATCATTATAAACAATACAGTATATAAAAATAAGCTTTTTCCCCGTGGCGTAGTGGTTAGATACACGCTTCGCGAGAGATTTGGCCTGGGTCTGTATCTTGGCCAGGGAGGTTTGACTAGTGCTAATCCTTAACTGTATGCCTCTGTTCACCCAGCAGTGAATGGGTACTTGGTGGTTAAACGATTTGGCGGGTCATATTCCAGGGAAAATTAAGATTATGGACCTGACCAAAGCACTGTGTGCTAGTGGCTTTACAAGAATGTATGAACTCTTGTATATATAAATAAAAAAAAAAACAAGACCACTGTGCACTAAAAATAATTCAATAGGATGCAACAAGTCATTTACTTGTTATCTATCTTGAGGTTATCTTGAGATGATTTCAGGGCTTAGTGTTCACGCGGCCCAGTCCTCGACCAGGCCTCCTTTTCGTTACGCATTCTCAGGAAGCAGCCCGCAGCAACTGTAACTCTCAGGTACCTATTTTACTACTAGGTATCAAGAGCATCAGGGTGAAAGAAACTCTGCCCATATGTTTCTGCCTCCACCGGGGACAGAAACCAGAACCTCAGGACTACGAATCTGAAGTGCTGTTCACTCAGCTGCCAGGCCCCTTAACTGGTAACTGAAATCTAGCCCTAAACTGCCAAACCTTCACCAGATGCACTAATAAAAAGTTTGAGGTATTGTAGCTTTGATCAGGGAACTCTGTTGTATTTGTGATACTATTGCTGGTAGTGGTCTGATTAGGTGGCCAGGCAGCCTAACTGGTACTTTACTACCCATTTAACCAGAACTATAGGAATGTGTTGATTAGTCAGGACACACAACTGACCTATACATACACATAAAAATATACTTATATCCAAAGCCCACTACACAATGAAAGAAAATTTTCCAAGGATAATTATTAATTACTCAATTGAATTCTATCTACACTCTACTAAATTGAGGACCAGTCAGGAGGAACCTGACTAAGGGGCCTAACGGCTGAGTGGACAGCGCTCGGGGTTTCATAGTCCTAAGGGTCCGTGTTCGATCCCCAGTGCAGGCGGAAACAAATGGGCAGTTTATCTTTCACCCTGATGCTCATGTTCACCTAGCAGTAAATAGATACTTGTGAGTTAGACAGCTGCTATGGGCTGCTTCCTGGAGATGTGTGTGTATCACAATTAGCATTAAGGACTTGACCGAAACGATATGCGTGCTAGTGGCAGTACAAGAATGAAAGAACTCTTTTGTGTGGAAAAAAAAAAAAAGGATTATGCTTAAGACAAGCAATCCTGCAGTGGTACAGATGCCACTACCTGGCTGTAGTCAGGGTTAGCAGCGAGGTGGGCCATGTTAGCACAAGTGTTATTTGGCAATTTTCACAATGTAAAGTGTCCTTTGGAAAGGCTTAAATGTTTGGGAAATGAGGTTCTAGAAATCATTCCAAGATGAACGAATCATTCCGATGTCTCTCTAGGCCCAGTAACACCAGCAGGGATGTAGAAGGATATCTCTTGAGTTGGCATGGAAATCAACTTGCACTGACCACTCCAGATCCTACCTATAGAACCACCAGTAAGATCTTGCCTTAGGAAGCAACCAAGTACTACAGCTCAAACTGATGGTGTAAAGAAAAACCAATTATATACAGTACTTATTACTTACAGTCTTATCGGTGAAATCTATTTTAACGTCTTCTTTCTTCAAGTTTTTGACAAGTATAGTAATGATAACGTGTGATTCCGTCTGGTACCAGTCGTGCTTTATTTTTGGTACTGGCATAGTATCTGGGGCAACTTCTGGTTTTTCCATGGTGTTTCCTGGGAGAAATACACACACATCAGAAATATTGTATGGTGTCTAAGAATATCATACAAATCGTACAAGTTAATCAATGTATGGTACTTATAATCTTTGATATATTCGCTCAAGAAGCTTCCCTTTTTTGATGAGATGGGCCATTATAAAATCTTAAATTTTGTTTTAAGATTTTAAGATTTTGAAGAAACATCTAAAGCATTTGCCAAAGAATTCAACAATGTTTGCTACCATATGAGTGAAGTAATGATTAATTGACTGAACTGAGAAAAAGATTTGTTAGAATTTGGATTGACTCAGTAAGCATAAAACACATGAAAGAAGTAAAGAAACAGGAAAGTGATAGATGCTAATATGGAAAGAATTCAGGTTTTTGTTTAAAAAAACTGCCAAGGCACCCAATGCCATCAGGTTTTGTTACTATAATTGATCCTGGTAGATAAATTTCCCCCATTATGGGATTTTTTTGTGTATCAAATCTCTACTTTCTTCATTTTTTGTTTTGGTGCTTTTGTTTTATGTGGGGTTTGATGTATGCAAATTTAAGTTGCTTAGCTTAGAACTGTATTTGTGGTCATTCTCAAACCTATTATTGATATATACATTAACACTTTCGCGCTCCGTGGAAACTCGCGGTTGACAGGGGGATCGTGGCCCCTCCGTGCGGGTAAGCGCGCGGTGACACTCAAATGTGTATACTCGTTCCAGTTTTCTCACCTTAATTCTCGCGCTACGTCGCTCATTTTGGTATCATTGTGTTCGCAATTAAATTCTCTACAGGTGTGTATAAATATAATGTCCAAAAGCCTAGCGTGACTCCCAACAGCAAAGCGTAAAGTCGGCAAAAACGCACAAAATCAGTAACATGTGCATTCTCGTTCCATTTTTTTACCTTAATTCTCGTGCTACGTCGCTCATTTTGGTATCATTGTGTTCGCAATTAAATTCCCTACAGATGTGTATGAATAAAATGTACAAAAGGCTGGAGTGCCTCCCCGCAGAAAAGCCTAAAGTTACCCATGAACGAGCACCATTTTGTACATTGCAACCTAATGTTCAACTCGTTCAATTTGATAACATCAAATTTCGTGCTACGTCGCTCGTTTTGGTATCAAATTGTTCGCAATAAAAAGGCGATTATTTTAAAACTAGTCCCAGAATAATAGAGCAATAACTGGATTTTTAACAAATATTTTAATTCTGGACGCTAATCATCACAAATTTATTTATATCTTTCCAGTGTTCTGACATAAATATTTGTGTTACATCTTTCATTTTGGTATCAAATTGTTCGCAATAAAAAGGCGCACATTTTAAAACAAGTCCCAAGATAATAGGACAATAAATAGAATTTTAACAAATATTTTAATATTCAGACCATAGACCTATTTATAATATTTCAAGTGTTTGGACATCAAGTTTCATGTTATATCTTTGATTTTGGTATGAAATTGTGTGCAATCTAAAGGCGCTTATTTTAAAACCACTACCAGATTGATCTGATAAAATTTAAATTTTTAAAAAATATTGTAATGAGTGACTCAGTATTGCGTCGTTGGAACACATTCAGTAGAAAAATAAATGACGAATTATTCAGTCTGTGGAACGCGAAAGTGTTAAACTGTGTAACTAGTTATCAAAACTAACTTGCTCAGCTAAATGAATTTTGGGCTTCAATTCCCGAGGCCATTCTATGTGCCTGTCACCTTTTCCATTGCCACCCACAGGATGAGTACGAGATGCATAATACTATATGAACTTAACTAAACTACCCTGACCTTTGTAAGGCCTTTAAAACTGTACTCCACAGGATAATGATTAGGAAGGTAAGTGGATTAGAGAGAATCTTCTCAATTGGCTCAGAGCTTAGTTGAAGGACAAGAAGCAGAAAGTTATCATATTGAATAAAAGTTAAGTGAAGATATGTCACTAGTGGTGTTCCCAGTGGTCTAGTAGTCTGACTTGGGGTCTTGTTGTCTCTAATGTATGTAACCTAGATCTTGGGGTGAACAGTAATATCAGTAAGTTTGCAGATGATACAAAAGTGGAGCAAGTAGTAAACTTGAATACGGACTTGGAAGAACTTCCTAAACACTTCATCACACTGAAAAAATTAGCAGAAAAGTGGCAGATGCAGTTCTACACTGATAAGGCCTAAGTCCTAAATTTGGGAAATGACAATATCACTATCTAATGGATGAATGATTCAAATCTGGGAAAATCGGGCTGTGAAAGAGACCAAGGGGTCATGATTGGCAGTAATCCAAAACCTAGGCAGCAGTGTATCAACTTGTGTAACAAAGCAAATACAATGCTTGAGTTTATAACCAGAAGTGTTACTTTAAATGCAGAAACATTATCCTCCAGTTATATCTGTCCTCGGTGAGGCCCTACTTATACTACACCATCCATATTAAACTGTACTTCAATTCCCTCAAGAAAATCCAAAATAGGATGACTAGATTAATTCCTGATGTTAGTGTTGTTCCCACACGAGGAAAGATTAACTAGCTTTAAAAATAAGCTTGATAGACATATGGGGAGAGAAGTCGGATCTAGATGGGCACTGCCCAGAATGGGTTAACATGTCCACTGTGATAACATGTATCCAACTGTTACATGTTGGATATAACATGTCCTATATAATTATTGGTCATCGAGAATGTGGCTAATTTGGTAAAATGCTACAGCTGGTGCTAGCGATGATGGTGAGGTTAGTGGTGATGGTGGATGTAGTGATAATACTGGGAGGTAGTAGTGATAGTGGATGTAGTGGCAATAGCAATAATACTTGTCAAGGTATATACACTAATATCATAACTTTTTCACCACTGACTTCATCAAATACACTAGAAAATAATTAATACATTTTTTAAACATGCATTGAATCTTTTATTCATTTGTGTTTGAAGATTCATGTACAAAATATACACATGGTATTTTAAATTATTGAATTGAGTAATTTTTAATCCTTCAATTAAACTAGTGTATTTAAAAAAAAAGATATCTCCTGTGCTTTGTACACACTAGATTTTCACTTATTTTGTACATATGACCATACAAACAACAGTTGCAAAATCAAACAACAAATATTGATACAAACATATTACTTCTCACCTGAAACCTTGGCAGCTTCTGAAGAGATATCACTAATCCCTAACTTCTTGATGCGTTCTTCACACCAGACTGTCCACTGCCCAAACTGGTCAAACCCCCCTAAGTCTGATCCTGCACAGTTCAATAAATAAAACTTTTGGTTAATATATTTTGGATTAATTTAGGTATCTAAAATAGTTTTATATTGTATATTAATCTTCTATTTGAAAGAAACTTATTAGAATAATGTTACGAAACCTTAAAATATAGTACAGTACAATACGAAAGAAAGATACCATACTGTTAAATGGATTAACATTTATATTTAGAAACAAATTTACAAGTCAGCCACGTGCTTTACGAATGCCTATTATCCGATTGGGGTTTGTTTGAATAAAAAAAAGTTTGGAAAACTGGTGGGGCAGGTAGTAGTAGTCTACATCAAAATGTGGAATAAAGACAGAACTAGTTTGCACTGTGACCATACACAGTGCCACTTGAGCAGTGTTCATACACTAATGGATGGCTCAGAGCTCTAAAGTCTGCAATTGCATTAGGTACATGGTGAAAAGCAGTCTACCGAGGTTGCCTCTTCACCATTACTCTCCACTTCAGTCTACCCAACACATTCAGTCTCGGTCCCGAGGGGTTCGGATAGCACGTGGCCAACTGTATTACCAAAATATACTAAATTAAAAAAATCATGAAATAGTTCTTAATAAACTGTAGCTGTGACCCACAAGCTTGTAGGAAAAAAATTGTATTTAAAAAACACAAACCAGATAGATACTCAACATTAAAGCTTAAAAAAAAAAAAATACATACATACCTGCTTTGGCTTTGCCCTTGTTGAATGTCTCTAAAGATTCCACATACTCCCCTAAGTTGAAGAGAGCTTTGCCATGCACCAAGTGAGCTTCAGCACCTGCGCCCAGAGCCAGTGCTCGAGCTGCGTCACTGCTTGCCTCTAGTTATATACAGACACAGATTTCTATCACTTGTCTCAATGTTACCAATTTCATAATTTATTGCCAACCAGATTCAGATGTTTGCCCAAGTTATGAATAACATTTACATTAATTACCAAAAATTTAACCCTCTGATAAAATGTTATGGTTTAAGATGATAAAAGATAATTTAAAAGCCTAGTTGTGCAAATTGCAAGACACTGAATGACTACACTAAAGTTGAGACAATACTCTGTTTTAGATTACAAGAGTGCTTTAAGAATATGAAATTAAGAATGCTTATTTAAGGAGTAAAAACAAACCTATTGGTCTTAGTCATGGCCTTCAAGTGACTAGATAATGTCACCAGTTATGCAAAACTGATCTTAGTGCTGTAAAATATTCATTCATTGTGCATGTATCATGTTTTCTAACTGGTGCTGTGTAACAGAATCTAAACACACAATTGTACATGTACACATTCACCATTGTTGTTAAAGGATAACCAAAAGTAATCCTATGCCAAGAAAACACCTTGAGGGAAAGGCTGTCACCATCCATGGAAGAGCGAATATCTCATTTTTTTTCCTGTCCCAACCCTCTCCTCGTCTTTTCCCTAAACCCCCACTCCACCTCATCTTCTCCCTGGCTCCCCCCCCCTCTTCTTCTCCCTGGCACCCCACTCTCCACCCCCTCTTCTTCCTGGCCCTCATCTTCTCCCTGCTCTCCTCTTTTCCCTGCAATCCTCTTCTTCCTCATCATCTCCCTAACCTCCTCTCCTCCCTCATCTTCTCCCTACCCTCCTCTAATCCCTCATCTTCTCCCTGCCCTCCTCTCACCCCTCATCTTGCATCTTCATTTATATACTATCGGCAGATATTTCTTAAAGTATTTAACATGGGCCAACCATGACCAGACTGTCCGTTCTATACTCCTGACCATTTCCCCTGTAATGTTGGGCGAGGCGAGCCCCAAGCACCTGCCCCCCTGAACCTAGACACACATTTTCTCAAAGTACAGATGTACAAAATTAAATGAAATAAGTTTGTCAGAGACAATGTCCTGTACTTAAGGAGGGTATGATTTCGTTACCTTTAAACTTTTCAAGCTTCAGCAGGTTCTGTGCCCTCTGGAGAAAAAGTTCAGGATTTTCAGGGTTTACTTTGATCTCTGAAGTAATGACCTGAAAGAAGAGTTTATAATTTGTTACTTAAATGTACACTCAGAAATTCCTATTTTACTGTCCTGGAAGCCCGCTTTATAAATTTTACTAAATTTAATCAGTTTAATAATAATGATTCATTAAAAATTTCAAATTCTGAAAGAATAAATTCTGTTTAATATCATTCAAGCAATGATATTAGACATTATGTTCAGCATGTTTCTATACATACATACAAAATACTATATCTTTGAAGGTGTAAAACCCACACCAGCTTTAGTCTAGAAATTCCTATGTGGATTGTAAGAGTGCAGTACTGATATCTTCCTTTTTTTTTCTTCTTCTGTGAGCCTAGAGGAGCTTGGGGGTCAGAGACTAACCCAAAATTGAGAAAACCAGACAAGAAAGTAAAATGACAAAACAGTGTCAGATTACCTAATGTTGACATTGTGATACGACACGACTCAAACACCAGGTGATATGACACTGGATTATAGTCTTAAGTAATTTTAGAGATGACCCGCCTTCAGCAGCAAGTGTCATCACACTGCACAATACAGTCCTATAGATAAATATTTAAACAGGTTGAAAGATATCCATTAAACTTCCTGTGGCCACCTTATGATCCTCAGTACAATATACAACATTATGAACAAAATATACAAGTTTAAACTGGTGAAGCATCTTTAAAAATGGATGGTCTATATACTGTACATGGTTGAGGGTTGCTGCCAAGGGTAGTAAACTTCCTGGAAGGTACCAAAACATCAGCCACCAAGAGTACAGTACTTTCATTAATGTCTTGTCAAGTATTGCATCTGCAGACTAAAGTGTGGCATCATTTCATAAACTCTTGATTATTACCATAGGTTTTCCAAAATATTGAAAAAAGTACAATACCCTGTAGTTTGAATTCCACTTGAAACCCAACAATTTTCTTACAGTTGTCAGCGATCAGCAGTTTTACCTATCCAGTGTCAAGAGTAGGATAGATAAGAAGCATGAGGGTTTGGAGTAATTGCAATTGGCAACTGCAACCGAAAGACAGGATCCAGTTAACTGAAGCTTGCCTTGCAAACCCGTATAAGAAAATACATATAAAAGAATGCAGTATTACATTGCTTAAATTACATGCTAAGCCACAAAAAAGTTAACTCTTAATAAACATACAGTACTGCAATTATAAACAAATCTACAACAAACAGTATTACTGTACCTCTACAGCTTGGAGGGTCTGTCCTTCGGCATTTAACTTGTTCACTTCACTTCTGTCAAGAAAATATTTAAGTACAAACTTATTCAGAGCTTTCCAAGATTTTGAAAGAATTTCTACCTCCAATTGCAATGAAAATCAAATCAAAATTATTGTGAAATTAGAATTTTGTACTAAGCCAACTTTTATAGAATGTTATTACTGTTGCAAAAACCAATTACAATACAGAATGTATACTGTATAAAATGAACAAATGATGTGCGAACTGAAATATTGTCCTAACTTGGAAATGACACATCCATGTTATTACACATTACACAGAAATGTAATTTTTGTCTTCAAATGTGTTACTATTATCCTGCTGTTAGCAGCAGTTTATTTATTTTATTTATTTATTTATATACAAGAAGTTACATTGGGGGGGGGGGGGGTTAACAGAGAATATAGAAAATAAGTTGAATTAACATTCTTGTAAAGCCACTAGCATGCATAGCGTTTCGGGCAAGTCCTTAAACTAACAGAAAATATTTCGATAAATTAACAGTAAAATTGATAAAAAATGTTTATAAAAAATGTATAGTAGTAGTAGTAGTAGTAGTAAAAAAAATAGGCTGAAGAGAAATACTGTTTGACCACCACCATTGCTCCACGAGCCAACCACCAGGGTCCCGGTCAGTACAATGTACAGGTGCCAGCACATAGAACAAAACCTCAAAAATGCCAGGAACTCTGAAGATATTTAAACATTAACCCTTCAGCTGCTCCAATTGAAAATTATGGTTATTGGTTGAACTGTGTACTCCAGTTTAAATGGAACTCATTTATCCGAGTTTACCTAAGAGCCACTAACACTAGTGGCCTGTGCGAGGACAGGAAGCCGGTGGCTTGTCGAAGGTCCTCCCAAAAGAAGGTCTTTTCCAGCTGTACTTTAAACCCAACAATCTTTTGGCCTTAACAGCTTTGGTGAGTAGGCAGTTTCATGGGTTAATAACCTTGTGGGTGAAAAAGCATTGCCTGGAAAATGAACTTTACTTTCATGAGGTGATATAATCAAGAAGACCCAATTTATAGATTTTTAATCAGAACTCTTAGTAGAGGGGTCAACCTTGAGGGGATCTGCCAGGGCGGACACAGCCATATTTCAGCTTGTGACAGTCACAGTGAGGATCCTGGTGCAGGACTAAACCATAGTTCCATCTCTGACAGTCACAATAAAAGTTGTATATTGCATAGAGGTGGGAACCTTCAGTCAAATTAAGATGATAATTTGACATTATGTTATTTAATGTAACAAATTTAGTGTACTGTATTGCATTATTGTTCTGCTGAATCTTTTCCTGTACGTAGTCGAGTACAGGAAAATTATTGTAATAAGGAAGGACATTATAAGAAAGTAGCAAGCCAGTATGGCTATAATGCGCACAGAAGGAATATGAAGACAGGATAGGAGCCGAAATAGGGGAGTTGGGTGATAGAACGATGACCATCCTGTTGAGCCACCAGGGATCGGACACTGGCCATGCAAGATGCTAAACCATTGCTCTACTGACCAGTCCAAGTGGAGTGAGGAGTGACATCACAATTTGTTTTTAAATTAACTTACTGCAGTGTGGTGTATATCATGGAGGAAGAATTTAAGTTAACTTTTTGCAGTGTGAAGTATATCACGTGGGAGGTGTGTAATTAACTTACAGTAGAGTGTAGTATGACATACATACTATGTATATCATTAGACAAAGAGGGAGGCATTGGGTCAACTGTGTGTAGTGTGATAACACGGGTGAGGAGTGCATTTAACTTAATGTAGTGTGTAGATAGACACAAAGGAAGGCATGGAGTCAACTTACTGTAGTGTGGAGTGTGACATGATAGGTAGGAGAGCGGAGCCCCTGATTACGATAAGTGGTGTATGGAAGAGCTTGGAGCTGAGTGTACAGGACCCCAACACTCGTGTTTTGGGTTTACTTCACGGAATATTCTCGACCAAAACACCTTTAACAAACATAAACACATTCCTCTCAATATTGGACAAACACAAACACGACTTATAAGACTGTAAAAAATACAAACAAATAAAATACAATTTTAAATTAAATTTATATTATTTAATATAGAAATGCTCATCATTTTTTTTAAACTTTCGCAAGATATACTGACACAATCAGCTGTGTGTGTTTGTTTACAAGAACTGCAGGTCACTTTGTACAGGCACGATTCGTATGTGAATTTTATAACCTAATCAAAAATATTACAATACATTATAATATGTAAATCATATTTTATAATACTGGTGACATGAAATAGCTAAAAAATATGAAACTTAGAGTTTTCTATTTTAAATGATTGTGTGTTCGAAAGGAGAGGGATTCGTAACGTCTGTTGGTTTATTTACTAGATGGTGTCCACGTTGTCTCACTCGCTTCCTGCTGCTGCTGCTAAAATTTAGTTCCCGTCAGGCATGGTGCCTCCTCACGCCTATACGAACTCATCATAGCTCTAAGTTTTGCCTTGTGGTTCAGCATCGCAGAGCGGTACCGAGAGAATATTGTCAGTCTGTGGAAGACGCTTCTTAGAAACGTTTGTTAGACCGTCATGGACTCCATGGACCAGTCTACTGGCGAGGTGGCGTGCCCTGGGGACCTACATGATGACCTGGATAGTAAAGACGACACATTGGAAGGTAAAATAGACATGTTGAATGGTAAAGACGACATGCTGGATGAAGAGTCTAGAAAAGCCACTATGGCGCAAGAGGACCCAGCATTTTACTCTGATGCAGCAGCTTATTGGGACAACATTCCTGCCACTGTCAATGGTATGTTAGGAGGGTTTGCGCACATTAATGTTGCCGACATTAGTGGATCGGATGCATTTTTGCGAAGTGTATTTAAAATGAAGAACCCTCCTGGACATGGACGAGCTGTTGACTGTGGTGCAGGAATTGGCAGAATAACCAAACATTTACTGCAGAAACATTTTGGGAAAGTTGATCTTGTTGAGCAGTGTCAAAATTTTATAGACAGAGCAAAGGAAAACTTCAAGGGCTCCAGAAAAATCGGCAGATGTTTGTGTCAGGGCCTCCAGCACTTTTCGCCTGAGCCCGACACTTACGATGTTGTGTGGTGTCAATGGGTGTTGGGTCATTTAACTGATGCAGATCTTGAAGACTTTTTTAGAAGAATGGCTCGTGGAGTAAAATCCAATGGTGTAATTATTATAAAGGAAAATGTTTCATCTTCTGGTACTGTGGAGCTGGATGAAAAAGATTCGTCTGTGACTCGACCTGAAAGCCTTCTTTTAGACATTATTGAACGGGCAGAACTCAGAATTCTGAAAAATACAAAGCAATCAAACTTTCCAAAAGGTCTATATGAAGTGAAAATTTTGTGTCTTAGGCCAAAAACTTGTGTTTAGTAATATAGTTCATGGAAATCCTGTGTGTTTACAATTTAAACAAGTAATTGTATTACACACAAAATTGAGGTTTGTTAGTTATGGTCATTTACTTACTTAGTTTTTCAGCATTGACTTAACAAAACAGTATTATAATAGTTAACAACTTTAACCTTTGAAGGAATAAGATTGTATACAATATGAGATTATTTACTAGATAAACTAAGCTTCCTCATATTTCTATTACAGTTGGTCCCTGAAAGAACCTTGTTCACTTGTTAGTAAAAAGTTTCCTCAAGATTATTTATATTTTTACTCATCACTGTAAACTGCAGTAACAACATATTGTATGTTTACTCTCAAAGTGACTACCATAGTGAAAGTCCTAAAACTTAAAAAAAAATAGCATAAATTAGCAATCCTATTGAGGATTAGGTTAATAATGAGTAGAACTCCCAGAACTCTCCAGGTAATGATACTTTAATTATTATTTTTATTACTAAAATTACACAAGGTTAAAGCACCTATAATTACTAGCATTTTGTCACTTACTGCACAGATAAATTAATAGTTTACAGGTTAATGGTATAACTTGGTCTACACAGCTTGCATTCTTTGGCACTAAAGTATACAGTTACGAATTTAATCTGTTCCAATAGATGATTCGAATCTCAAAAATTTGTAAACCATAACAAATTTTCCCATAAGAAATAATGTAAATTGAATTAATTTGTTCCACACACACACACAAAAATATTAACTTAAAAATACATTTTGTACAGAATACTACTCATATTTTTACTATACCTTACCTTCATTTAGGACTCTTGTTGGCGTATAGAAGACAGTGAGGAGGAGGGGAGAGGAGAAGAGGTGTTAGTGTTTGCAAGGGGAGTCCCCTTCCCTTATGACATCAGGAACTGATGATATTTCTGTGGTACTCTCTCTCCTATGTTTTGCAGGTATACCATTAGGACCTGGTTGTGGCTCACAACCTTACTAAGAATATAGTCTTACTAAGAATGTGTCTTAGATACTTGTTTTTTCCCTATGTTTTAACACTTGTCTGTTGTGAGACATCACATTGTCATTAAAAATGTTAAACAATGGCCTGCTACAGCTTTATCTGAGTGAGTCTTTTCAGCAAAACTGCAGTTCTTCCCATATTGGATATTTTTTTTTAATTAATGAGGAAGAGACATCCTCTACTGCCTTGTCCTTCCCTGAAGAAATTTCCTCGGCTGTCTCTTGTTGCTGTTTCTTGTGAAGGGTTAGGAGTTCTTCAGTGGTCAGTTCTTCACTGTGTTCCTCCTCCAACTCCTCCACATCAACACCATTCAACTCCAAGCCCAGTTTCTGGCCCAGAGAAACAATTTCCTCAACAAGAGGCACTGCAGGTTCAGGCTCAGAGTCTCATTCTGGAACACATTCAGGCCACAATTTTCTCCAGTCAGAGATCATGTAATAAAAACTCTTTATGTTTAGAAACCAAAAAAAACTGAAAAACAATGACATCCTTTACGCAGAATTCAAGCACAATTGTCACTAAAAGAGATACACTGGTAAACTGAGCGTGCCGCGCCCAGCAGAACCCACATGCCCGACCCTTATATGTATCGACAAACATTTGTATTCCAAGGCAAACTTCGTACACAGTCAAATTTGACAAGGAAATTGACTTTGCCCCAGATTACGAATTTTTCAGTATACTGTACATTCATAAATCGAGGTTCCACTGTACTTGAGGATGGGTGCATGAATACTTAAAATTTTAATGCTGACTACACATTATGCTAGGGCTCTTTTCATTAGGCCTAAAAATATAAAAGCTATGAATAATTATAAAATTAAATTTGGAGCCTTTTGATAATTACAATTTTTCACTGGGCCAAAGGGTTTTGAGTTGCCAATATGTATTTATTGCACAGTACACTGATACTATAGTACATTAATCTTAATTAATTAATAATAACAGTTATATTTATTATATTATACTATACATTAACTGATATTAATAATATCAGTTAATTTAATATATAGTAACTGATTAATTAATAATAACAGTTATTATAAGTATAATAATAATTCTATTCATAATAAAATGCATACAGAAAACAAGGAAGTATACTTTTAGGTGCAGGGGTTCTATATAAAATGAGCCACGACTACGCAAAGCGTCGGGCAAAACTTCATTAACTCAGATGAAGATTATTTATAGGTGTAATACTTAATACTAAACGAGAAGAAAGCTAACATGTGCAATGTTCAAGAAATATAACAAATGATATATAATATCATGGTGATAATGATGACAGGTATATACATTATGGAATCTGTAGTTGTAGCAACAGTATAGAAATAGATTTAATGTTATTATTGATGGTGCTACATAGCCTTCCCGGTTTGGTGCCTTCTTTTGATAATTACTTTAATGTTATTAATAACAGCAGGGATATACAAAGATGTATTTTAGTAAAGCCACTAAAGCGTAAATTGGTAAAACTGTATGACTTGAATAAGCAATTTAGCAAAGAATAAATGCTATACATTAATTAGATGACTGATGAAAAGCACATTTTTATTAAATAAAATTCAAGATAAGTGATGTCTCGCATGCAGACATGTCACCACCTTTCCAAGTTTCAAAGCTCTTACAAAGTAGAATTAATTTATAACCAAACTAGAAGGGTTACCTGGTGATGCCTGTAGCAGTCTGCCTTTACCTGTATCCTCTGACCCCCTCTTTATTTTTCTTTATTTTTTTCCCCTCTTGTCCCATTTTCCCCCTTCTCCCCACCTTCATTCCTCCTCATATCTCCCTACTCACTGTCTTTTCCCCCTCTCTTCCCCATCTGGCCTCCAACCTCGAACAGACACATTATTATTTAATAATGAATTCACCTTCACTTTCACTTTCAAGTGAAGAAATGAAAGGGACTCAACCAGCCACATTTCATCGATTTTGTAAGGGATTAATATTGGACTTTACCCACTCTTAATGGGGTCAATAAGACTGCCCCCAACCAACCCATGTCAGTCCTGCACCCTAGACCCTTCTCCCTGCAAAGTTGGGTGAGGCTAACCCCAAGCATCTGACCTCTATCCATGGACAGATTCTCTTATACATATAACTGGATAAAAAATCTACACTGTTTTCTGTCGTACATTGTGTTGCCAAGCTTGAAGCTGTTGCACCTTATATGAGTTACAAATTATGCACAACACAACCATCAAATCAACAACACTTCCATGCAGCAGATTGATGAAAGAGACCTAGGAGTCGGTATCCAGTAATCATTGAACTTTGCCCACAAGTGAGCTACAGTAAAAAAAAAAGGCATTGTCAACTTCAAAGAAAAGAATGGGTATTCAACTACACAAGTATCGTGCTCTCCTCTTTGGACTTGTGTATCGAAGCATGGAGACATCATCTTTAAAAGGACATATACAGTATATGCTTTGGAAAAATTCAACAGAGCAACAAAAATCATCCCAGAGCTAAGTCAGCTCTCGTACCAGGAACGGTTGACTGCCACAGGGTTAACAACACTACAAACCTTACATGTGAGGACTGAACTCATATACAGTAGACTTAAAATACTGAATGAGTTTGAGAATATTAATCCAGACCACTTCTTTCAAAAGTTCAATGTAAACATACAATGGGCAACAGTTTCAAGTTCAAACAGCCACATTGTAGGGCAGAAAAGCTTTTTCACCTATGGGGGTTATAAACCCATGGAACCGCCAAAGCTTTAAATGCCAAAACTGCTGAATTTTAAAATCCACCTCGATAAAATCATCAGGGCAAATGGAGAGAGGAAGACCTTTGTAAAGCCACAAGTCTCTTGTTCTAATTAAGGTAACCAGATAGTGTCCGTCAGACAAATTCAGGTAAAGTGGTCTGGATAAATATCCTCCAACTTGATCAGTAATTTATAAAGTTTTACATAAATGGTTTACGTTTTCTTTTATGTGATGCCTCTGTTCACCTAGCAATAAATCGGTACCCCTAGATTTAGGCAACTTGTGGGTTGCATCCTGGGGAAAGTGATCGAAGTTGACCTGGGAGGATCTTGATAAGACTAACAGCTGGCTTCCTGTCCCCTACAACGTGAAATTAAATGCTTATAAATAAAGTATCCATTGATACTTGAATTTATTTGCGAGTGCCCTGTTAACGATTATGTCAGACCAAGTGGCATGAGATATTTTAAACTCTAAGTACTTCATACACTCGTGGATATTTGGAAGATATTCTCGTGCTCTACCCAGAGTTTGCTAGTGCAAGCTAGTAGATTAGACTTGCATCTCATGTTTTCTCCTGACTGCATGACTAGGCAACCATCTTTTGAGATGATATTAGGTGAAGTTATAGCTAGCTAAACTTCATAAATGTCAAAATTGATTTATAAAATGCAGTTAGAAAGAATCACCAGGACAAATGGGGGACCACTGACAGGACGCTGGCTTCCTGTCTTCGTCGAGGCCACTAGTATTAGTGGCCTACGGGTAAATGATCCCTCATATAGACCGTAGAAGCACATAGTTGGTTTGTACCTAATGAAAGCTTATTAAAGGAAAAATGAATTATAGAGCATTAAGGCTAAACTAAAAGTATTTTAATGTAATTATGCCTCCTTGTAGTTTAATCTTAACAGATTTAGGTTAACAGTACAAGAGTTGTAACAACTCTTAATGGTATGCATTTTCACGAAGGTCAACCCGTAAAAAATAGCTTCCCCCTTGATTCATTAAAGAAAATGAAGTTTCAGCAGAGAAAACGTTCCCAGTCATTCATAAACCGAACATCGTAACATCAGAGGTTGCGTGACAGTAGACGCAGGTATCCAAACACTGGATATTACCTAACTGTCGGCTCGTAAATCTATTTTTTTTTAATTTCGTTAGTCTAATAACTGCTCAGCCACATAATGTTTGCCATAAGTCACGCGAGCAAACGTTATATGTGTACGGAAAGGTCGGCCGAGCTAACACGCTGCTTTGCTCTCTCTAGTACATATATGCTCTAAGGTATGGACAGCCTTCATCTGATCAAGTAGCGTTCCAACAATATAAAAGGAATATATACATAATAGCTGTGAATAAACATGTACATACCAATAGCAACTCTTATTTTGTTAAATAAATAAAATTTATTGCCCAATGTAATCACAAATTAACGTGTTTCTATTTATTTAAAGTCATCCATTTTCGTTTTAAAACACCACTGATGAGCGAGTGTGAGTTTTAGGCATCAACATCGTCTGCTATTTAGTCACACGTCTTGTTCATCTGGCTGTCTCATGTTATATAGGCCTTAAATGTGGCACCGTGGCCTCAGAGACAACATATATTGCGCCTTGGCCACCGGTGAAGTGCACGGAGTTGAGATGTATTATACAAGAGCTCCGTTATAGCCCCTTGAGTGCGCTCGTTGCCTAATTACAGGTGTAGGGAAGGTGAGTGTTGCTGCCTCACAAGATCTGGCTCACCTGCACACCTCACATTATTCATCTTATTAACACTTACTGCGAATAATAAAATAATATGTATGCATATACCTGTATATATATATTTTTCTTCGCAATGTCATAGTGTAGGGACTAAAGAACGAGGGGAACGAAATGTGATATTTTTAGTATAGAAATATATAAAAGGACCTTATTCATTGTGTGGGTAGTGTGTGGGTGCATTAAGAAGTTGATAGTGTGTGGAAGCACTAAGAAGGTGGTGGTGTGTGGAAGCAATAAGAAGGTGGTAGTGAGTCTAAGCATTAAGAAGGTGGTACCACTTTCCCTACCCTTCACTACCTTCCTTACCTCTCGTCACCTTCCCTATTCCTCACCACCTTCCCTGTCCTTCACTCTCATTCTCTGTAAATGTGTTCTTCCTATCTCCAGTTCCATCCCCTGTTCCTGAATTGTTGTTTTCCTCTTGATCTAGCTATGGCGGGCTTGGGTCGGGTCTTTATCTACAACGGAGTTTTCAAATTGTCCATCCACTTCTCCACATTGAGGTACTCATTCCTGGTCCTCTGGTACCTCCCTCTGCTCTCTTCTGCTGTTCTTGCAGTTTCTTCATGCCCTGGTGCTTATATTGTTACTTTTATATCTCAGAAAGCTCCAAGACAGGAACGATTGGTCATATAACAATGTTGTGTGAATTTTACATAATTTCAAAGCCACTAAACACCGTACCATTTCAGGTGTTGCTTCCTTACACCCATAGTTGAACCATGAGTTATTCTGTGTCTATCATTATATATTATCTGTTTTTAGGGCAGGGATAAACTTGTCGACTACATCATGTCATTGATTTGTGAGGTAGTCTTGTGTAATCTTCCCTCTCAGCTCTGTTTCCTTTGTCATTCCTTATAGAAACTCTCCTTTCTTCATATTTTTCCCTTCTACCTGTTTTTTTCTTTAAACATACCGCAGTGTGTGTGTGTGTGTGTGCTGAAATGTTTTAACAGGAATCGAACTCCAGTTCCTGATCTCCTCATCTTAAATATGAGGCGATCAGTGTATGTGTGAATCAATTATATGCACATAGTTTATATCTAGTGCTGAACTTATAAATATTGCATAATTAAAATATTGCGTAATATATTATTCATTCAATATCTGTGATAAATTGTTTTATTTCCATTTTTACCACGATTGTCTTCAAGTAAAAGTGCATGTCAACAGGTTAATGCTATATACACTGACAAATAGTTTCCAATAATTATGTCTTATGTGTGAAGCATCCGTGTGCTATTATTCATTTTATATTTCCTGTGGATCATATCTACTCGTTTGCTTTTTTTATATTTTTGATGCAATTTATCTGCAATTGTTTTGTCTAAATTTCTTATGTATTTTGAATTTATAATGTACGTGGATTGTTATGGAAAATAGAATGTAATATTTTATCCACCAGGATGCCGGCCGACGAAGGCCCTGGGGCGGGTGTGAGAGAAGTTCGGGGAATTGAGGGCCATTATGCTGCCAAAACCTCCTCCAGGGCCTCCCTCGCCAGCGTCCCCACACCCACCTCCTGCTTTTCCTCATCCAGTTCTTCCGTCTCGGAGATTGTGGGCCTCGGGGGCCAACTGCGATCCAATGAGTCCTTATCCTCAGCAGAATCCCACTCTACTTCCTTCCGCGACGCAGTTGTTTCCTCTTCAGGAGAAACCTGCGCCAGCAGCAGCGTGTCTGCAGTGCAGCCCGAATTGGGGCACGTGGAGAACACTCAGCAAGTGTCCCCGGCCTCGCCAGCATCACAGGCTTCACTCCTCATCCAGGAGCACAGTGTGCCGGCAATCTCAGAGAGGAACAATGGCTTCTCACCGGTTTCCATGCGCCGAACTAGCCCGGACTCTACTCCTACAGTGACTATCTCACGCTACGTTCCCCCAACCAACTCGGTTGGATGGCCCAGAGGCTCCCCCACACCGTCTGCAGCTTCCTCAGTGTCTTCGTCCGTCGGCCAGTCTTCCGCCTCGCCCATACTAGGTGCTATGCCTCTGATGGCTTCGGCAGTATGTACATCTCTATTGTCTTCCTCGCCGGTATCGTCAATTCCCCTCTCCATCCCTCCGGTGTCGTTATCGCCGTACCTATCCCGCACCCGCTCCCCCAATACCACCAGAATAGTGAGGTCCAGCCCCGCCAACCAGCAGCCATCGCCCGCCTCACGGAGGTCTTCTCCAGCATTTAGGATAACAGACGCTTCCAGGTGATTCATGATATTTCTCGTATTACAACACTATAGTTAACTACCACCGTACTCTTTGAAATTATACAAATTCAAGCGACCTGTATTGCAATAAACTAAACTTCATACTCAATTTAGGGATTGTTTTTAGCAAAGTTTAAATTTATATATAGGCATTGATTTTTTTGCTTAAAAACTCCTTAAGTTGTTTTAAAAACAAAAAACAAATTGAGTGTAAAAATCAAATGTTCTCTCTGAGACTAAAACAACAAGGCTGACGTAACCAGAATATTGAGGAAGGTAAAGGATTCTTGTCTGTTCTCAGTACCTTGGACCAGTTAGTAGGTTCGAGCAGCCGGCCATCAGTAGGCTCGAGGGGTGAGCATGGTGTGGCCCGCGTCCCCAACCTGGCCATCGCCCACCTCGCCTCCAGCGATGCCGTCCCTCCGTGCATCCCCTCGCCACCCCCTACCTACGACCAGGTCAGATTTGTCAGTTTTTTTGCTACTTGTCTCGCCACTCTTGAGATGCTTCTTCCATTCCGCCAGGCAGGTGTTGTGTACAGCGTCGCTACCTGAGGTTTACTGTTTTTTACATTCTCCATGCTGCCACCTCAAACATTTCACTACTGCATATTTGACAAATTAACTGTTCGTTAGTTAATATTGTACAGTATAATTTTATCTATGAATAACAAAATAAAATTATCAAATAGTTTTTAATAATCAAGTGACTTTAACAATTATTACTTAATTTATACAATATTTCAGAGAATGTATATAACACTAAATCACTTGTTTTACAAGTGAAAAATAATCTTTTCCACCCAATTTTTATTTACAATGGGTGTTATTGACGACACTAGACCTATATTTCATCAGTCCTATAATCCCACATGAGATTCGAACTCTGGATTCCTGATTATGGGTCGAGAACGAACATAACTTGTATTACTGAGACCTTTATACAATATTTCTATTGGTTCAACAGCTTTGTAACCCTAATGCGCTGCCGACCTACCAAGAGGCAACCCAGAGCTCTGGCAGCAAGCGACGCGGGGAACACAGGACTGTGTTTACTCTGCCGTCCAGCGCTGATTCCACCGCCACCGACTCACTCCAGGTAAATAGTTGTACTCACCCTCAGCAGATATAATAATTGCTGTACCGACCCCAGCAGACATAACAATAACTGTATCTCAGCAGACATACGTGGTACAAGATGGAGACAGAGGGCTGCGTGGGGGTGTCTTGGCGTCTCTCGCTGCCGAGCTGAGTGACTCTGAGGGAGGCTACTCCACAATCCTCGACGCCATACCCCATGAGCACCCCAGAGACTCCTGCGTCAGCGTCCCCGTCAGGTAGGTCCCCAGCCTCACTCTACCTTTACCACCAGCCTCACTCTACCTAGACTCCATCCTCACTCTAGATAGACCCCTAGTACCCTATTCTACCCACATCATACATCGAAAAAATATTTATGTACTGTATATATATTTTATCAAATTTTGTCCTCTCTCCGTAGGAGATTTACGGCTGTGAATCTCCTACAGAGAGAGGAGGACAATATTTGATAAAAAAAATTGGTTTGTTCCTACCCAGCACAAACTCAGTCTATTTTGTTGTGCTTTAAACCCTAATCTGTGTTTTAAACGGCTTCCTCTGCCAACCCGCTGGCACTCTTAGCCTTGCTCTAGAAGTCTATATGAGGCCCAGCATCCCTCCATACATGCAAATTTGTCATAAAATGCCTCTCAAGTGTTCATGAATGACATTGCATTATATTTGCAAAATTTGTCCAGTTGGCATTTAATACCAATTGTTGTAGACAACCGATTTTTCTAGGTAAAATGTCATATATAATCGGGATTGCCTTTCCTTGAATATTCCTAGCTACCTCACTCGTTGAGAAGAACGTCACATAAGGTTACTGTCTTAACTACAGCATCAGGAAGGGACGAGGTTTCTCCCTTGATCAGAGACGAATATAAAATATATAATCAAGTGACAGATACTTGTGCTGGTGTTAATCTGAGGCTCATGGAACTGCTTTAATGGGGTAAAACCCTATACTGGGCATACTAAAAGAGCATGTGGATTCTCTCTCAGTTACCTGGGCTCTGGTAACTGGCTCCTGTGGAACACAGAGATTATGCTGTGAGATTCATGGTAGCTTGAGTATGAACACGAGGGGGTAATAAGTTACCGAAGACAGCATGCCTGGCGTAAGACGTCTATTAGAGTGGAGGGCCAAGGGGGGTTGAGAGTTTCTCTAGCCTGACATCATGGTGTGGGTTCCTTTTGTAGGTTCCTGGGGTCGTGTTCGCTGCACCGTCTGCGGCCGCCCAAGGTGCAACCTCCCTGCCTCACCTCCGTCTGCAACAAGGCCCTCGTCAGGAAGGTCTGTTGGAATGAAACTAATTCTCTGTTTCATGAACTAATTTATCCCCTTTTTATTAAAAAGTGATTAGTTTTTTATGTAACGTGAAATTTGTAATGAATTATACTAATTCGTTATTGTCTAATGATAATCGTTATTTACAAAAAAGGTAAACAATGGAAAGGTTTACAACTGATTTAAACAGATTCTGCATGGTGCTGAGGTAGAATATATTGTATTACATTGTGCTACACCTTCTTATATTGTATTACATTGTGTTACGTTTTGTTATATCATTACGTATTGCTAGGTACAACGTCTAGGGCCAGTCGTAGAGATTAATATGATGACTATGCTACACATACAGCTGCTGCACAATGAAGCTAGCTTTTATATAAACAACCTTAGCCTAACAAAACTAACAAATATACATTTTTAGTTGTAATGTTAATAGAGAACATTGTTGACATTTTATAATAGGACTGTAAATGTAGTAATAAATGAACTGGAATATAGGAAGCGTAATTACAACACACTGCTTTAGTTGTGATGGTTGTTGACATTTTATTAAATATAGCGAATTGACAACACTAACAACAAGATTTAGTTTTTGCTGTATACTAGACTTTGTGTTTCAACTCTGTAGGTAGATACGTAGATGTGTAGGTAGATTCATGTCAGTAAAATTGACTGCTAAATATTAGTTTAGTTCCTTTTGTTTCTCTTTTTAAATTGGCTTAAGGTTGTGCAGCATTTCATTTCATTTGGGGAAGCTGTTTATTTCAACCTATAACCTCAAAATTATAGAACCTGTAGCTACTGTAGGTTGTAGTACTGTAGGTGGAACATATAAATGTAGACTGTTGCACTCAAAGGACCACGTTCTGAACTATTTATTTCTTAAAGGCCGAAGAAACGAAGCAACAAACAAACCTGACTTTTCCCTAGGCCTTGCCATATATTTTTATTAGGCCTAAAATTGCTTATTTAGACGCAGGACAGGTTTTTATGTTTATTGTTAGGCTACTTCACATTTTCTTACGCCTTTTCGATTTCTATTAGTACAATACGTGGACGTTCTTTTGAAACAATTTGTAGTTTCCATCCATCGTTGTAGCAGTTGTTATCATTTCTGGAGGATTGGTAAGATATTCGTAAGATAGTTTTACTAGGGTTGATCGGATTCTCTTGTGGTATTTGTCAACTGTTACAGCATTATAAAACGCAGTTAAGGTCAGGATTGGTATTGCAATTTAATGACTATAATGCAAACCGTACAAGTGTTGTGCTTGTTGGATGGTTAAAGATTTAATTATGGGTGCTGGTTGATGTATGGGCCTGAAGTCGTTATGGTGATACAGTAAAGAGGTATTAGTTTATTTTTGGAGAGTGCAGCTATTACGCAAATATAAATTGATACAATATGGTTTGAAAACAAACGACAAATGATTACTTTTTCTTTTCAAAATCGTGCTTGTATTTTGTGTACCGTTCCAGCTTACTAAACTGGTTAGGATAAAATCAATTATGGAGACCTGGGTAGAAGGGAGCTTTGGAATTGTTGTAGTATGGTATTAATGGCATCGTTTGTTTTGGTTACTTCTCCAACATGCCTACAACACCTCTCCAACGTTCCTACAACACCTCTAACGTTCCTACAACACCTCAAAAACACTCCTACAATACGTCTCAAACACTCCTACACTTCTCCAGCTCCCCCCTTAGCACAAAACATATTTTTGTTTATAGGCTATATTACCTTAAGTATCTACTAGAAGCAATATGTGGATACTGTGTAAGAATTTCAGGTATTTTGTCATTAACGATAAAGTGGCATGCCATTTATGCAACGTTATTTTAAATCTATCTCTAAATGGCTCCATATCCAATCTAATATGTAATTATGTAGTGTGTACCTGTTTTTAGCCACACACTTTAATTTTGTGTCATCTAATTCTCCATAAAAATTGGACTGCCAAAGATAATTGTATCCTAGTCGAGTTCAAGCTGTAACATCTGCGAGGCTACCTATAAGACTGTGACATCTACCAGTCTAATCATAAGGCTGTGACAACATCTACCAGTCTACCCATAAGACTGACAACAGCTACCAGTCTGTGATATCTACCAGTCTAACCATAAGACTGAGAACATCTACTAGTCTATCCATTAGACTGTGACATCAAATTCGATGTTACTGCAGTAACTAAACCATATTTTCATTTTTATCAAACCTTTTTACTCTGTAATAACATTTCGTAACATATACGAAAAAGGAAACAATGCAAATAATACATTCCTGGTAATTTCAAATATTACGTTTAGGTTCATTCGAACCTCTCAAATTCTTTGCAACTTTCCTATGTAGCCAGAGAGCCAAAACGTTTTTTGGAGTAATATAATATTCACACATTAACTCTAAGATTTGTCTGAATTGATGTGCAGAATTAGAGCTCTCCTTCATACATACAACGTATTGCTAATGTAAACTTTACCATTATCTGAGATAATTTTGTTATAAGTACTGTATATAAACGTTGGTGCAAGACCGACCCCCTCCACCCCTTCTCTCCTTCTTGGTTCAGGAACTAAACCGGCGGTGGCCGTTCATCGCGGGGGCCCGCGAGGACGACCACTGCCCTGGCCTTATCCTAGTGGAGTGTTCCTCCCATCTCACTGTCGCGCACCTCCCGGAGCCCTCCCGACACCAGGATGGGGGCGTCATGGGAAGTCTCATGTCGGCCAGCGGCGGAGACGGGAACGGCATCCTGGGTGACAACTTTACTGACGTGATGCTAGGCTCCCCAAGCCTCACCACGACCACCACCACCGCCACTGTTGGAGGCGCCACTACCATCGACCTAGACACCACCGCCCTCACCTCTCAGGTCCTCTTCTACTTGTGTGGCAAGTGTGTGGGCTACGACTCCTTTGACATAGACAACGTGAAGGCCCACATTGAGTACGACTGCCCCGGCTCCTACAACCAGTGGGGCAACAATGCCGAGCTGTACCTGGTCCTGCGGGCGGTCCTCTTCGTTGTCATCATTATATTTGTGTTTGTGTGGCTTCCCTACCTCCGCCTCTAGCTGTACAAGCGCTGAGGAACATTACATGAAATACACACCTTCTACGGTATACACTGTAATATACGCATAAACATTATGATACGGGGAAACTTGTATCACATGTGAATGTTTTCTAGGACATGCAGGTTAATGTTCTGTTCTAAGATGTACAACATGAACGTGTAAGCTCTAGGGAAGACAATTAAATTATATATATATATATATATATATATATATATATATATATATATATATATATATATATATATATATATATATATATATATATATATTTAATATGTGTGTAAAAAATTGTAATCCACAATTAACGTGGAAATAACATTTTATTCACTTGCACCATCGGAGACTCGAACTCACGACCTCTGCATCGGGAGACAGTAGTCAGGTCGGTAGGGCTCCTGTCTTCCCCACAGGTAAAATAAATCCCCACAAAAAATAAATAACTTCCCCACAGAGGTCGTGAGTTCGAGGCTCCAATGGTGCAAGTGAATGAAATTATATGTACATGTATTAAAATACACACATGGGTCATTTCCTTAGGGTATGCATACCAAACTTGTACACACCTTGTACACCACATATGAAACAGAGTTGTTTAATATTTTGGAACAACATCCAATGCGCACTGAAAATTGTTCTATGATATCCACACATTACATTACACTACAAACGTCCATGCAGAAGTACACACATGTACACACTTTATATAAACATTCCAGTACAGTCATGGATTTAGTGTTTTTATAAACATATAAAAATACATTCCCATAATAAAAATAAATATCCCATAATACCATAACAACTAAAAGTTTACAAAAAGCTTTTAAACATATGTTGTTGAATATGACCGAAAAGGTAAGATTAATAATTCTAACACGAATCTTCTCAATATTTCTTGTTTTTCTTGACTGTCGGTGGTAATAAAAATAACAATTCTCCTAAATTAATTTTGTAATTGTCTTGTAGGTACAATAATTGTAGACAATTAAAAAATGAATTTCGTAGAAGTTATTTTTTATTACCACCGACAGTGAAGAAAAACAAAAGAAATATTGAGAAGATTCGTGTTAGAATTATTAATCTTACCTTTTCGGTCATATTCAACAACATATGTTTACAAGAAAGACTGCTACCAAAACATACTAATATTAAAAAGCTTTTAACTAAATTATACACTAAAACAACGGATACATTTCCGCAACTACTGTATTTCTGAGTATTAACTTACATGTTATATTCTGTATAAGAGAATATACGATAAAAACACGCCTTTGAAGATAATCGGAACACAATAGTGTGATCAGTGTTTATCAAGAGTATATATAAATATATCTTATACTCTTGACAATGGTCCAGGAGGGACCGAAACGTCGTCGTCATCTCATCTTCTGGTGTGTGGTTTGGTCATCATAATTATATATCTTAGGTTTCAAGATACATTGTAGTTTTGAGATATCTCTTAGACATCGTGAAAGATGCAATGAGGACCTCCTTGTAAACGTAGACTGTTCTGATTCTCAAAGTTAAGCAGGCTGATATATATATATATATATATATATATATATATATATATATATATATATATATATATATATATATATATATATATATATATATATATATATATATATATATATATATATATATATGTCGTACCTAATAGCCAGAACGCACTTCTCAGCCTACTATTCAAGGCCCGATTTGCCTAATAAGCCAAGTTTTCATGAATTAATGTTTTTTCGTCTACCTAACCTACCTAACCTAGCTTTTTTTGGCTACCTAACCTAACCTTACCTATAAATATAGGTTAGGTTAGGTTAGGTAGGGTTGGTTAGGTTCGGTCATATATCTACGTTAATTTTAACTCCAATAAAAAAAAATTGACCTCATACATAGAGAAAAGGGTTGCTTTATCATTTCATAAGAAAAAAATTATAGTAAATATATTAATTCAGGAAAACTTGGCTTATTAGGCAAATCGGGCCTTGAATAGTAGGCTGAGAAGTGAGTTCTGGCTACTAGGTACGACATATATATATATATATATATATATATATATATATATATATATATATATATATATATATATATATATATATATATATATATATATGTCGTACCTAATAGCCAGAACGCACTTCTATGCCTACTATTCAAGGCCCGATTTGCCTAATAAGCCAAGTTTTCATGAATTAATTGTTTTTCGACTACCTAACCTACCTAACCTAACCTAACCTAACTTTTTCGGCTACCTAACCTAACCTAACCTATAAAGATAGGTTAGGTTAGGTTAGGTAGGGTTGGTTAGGTTCGGTCATATATCTACGTTATTTTTAACTCCAATAAACAAAAATTGACCTCATACATAATGAAATGGGTAGCTTTATCATTTCATAAGAAAAAAATTAGAGAAAATATATTAATTCATGAAAACTTGGCTTATTAGGCAAATCAGGCCTTGCATAGTAGGCTGAGAAGTGCGTTCTGGCTACTAGGTACGACATATATATATATATATATATATATATATATATATATATATATATATATATATATATATATATATATATATATATATTTATTTATTTATTTATAATATACATGAGTTTCTTATGAATGAACGGGTATAAATCATTTAAAACAATTTTAAATTAGGTATTATTGGCCTTGATGCCACTGCTCAAAAATGTGAACATTTGGGAAATGGAAATGAAGTTTGTACATTTTTCATAATACGTTGTGTTAGTTATGAGCTGTTGATGCTTGTAGGATATAAGCTGTGAAGGTAACTGACAATAAAGAGGTCTATAGATACGTCTTTGTAAGGTATAAAATAACCAGACACTAACTTGCTTCCGTGAAGCCTAACCTACCAAAGGGCAGGATTTTGCAGGAGAGTAAGTCTTCCAGTGTTTACTTCTCGCACAAGTACTTGTGTTCTTCAAATGTTCATATGTTCTGAAGACATTCATGGCAGCACTTTACCTGTATGTGTTTACTAGTTGTGTGTGTGTGTTTTTTACTAGTTGTGTTTTTGCGGGGGTTGAGCTTTGCTCTTTCGGCCCGCCTCTCAACTGTCAATCAACTGTTTACTAACTACTTTTTTTTTCCACACCACACACACACATGTATATACACGGGCAGTATTATTTTTGTTAAATATGCTGCTCATGAACTGTAACTGAAGATTTGATATGTGTAACGCCTCACAGGTGCTCAACTGTCATGTTCATGGTGGCCACGTTCCTCTCTCATCCTTGTGTTTTCGCCAACCCATTCTCGCACTTGCTTTCGGTCAATATTGGCTTATTTAATAAGTGCATATGTGACATACTAATTGATTGTGAATATTTTCGTTTACCTTGAAAAGCTTCATAGAAAACACCGACCTCACCTAACCTTCTTAGTATGTTAAGATAAGCATCTTATTGCTTCATATTTACAATTATTACTTAACCTATCAACGGTATAGGTTAAGTAATAATTGTAATTAAGAAGCAATAAGATGCTTACCTTAACATACTAAGAAGGTTAGGTGAGGTCGGTGTTTTCTATGAAGCTTTTCAAGGTAAACTAAAATATTCACAATCAATTAATATTTCACATATGCACTTATTAAATAAGCCAATATTGACTAAAAGCAAGTCCAAGAACGGGTTGCACAGGATGGGTGGCGCTGCCCAATTAACTCGCCCCTCAGGACAAAATTAAAAAAAAAAATTGGTAAAGTATTATCTCCAAACAACAATATTTTTACTGCGACCAATATTATGCGACCTACTGCTAATATAAAGGCTGCCTTACCAGTATTGTCCAGGATTGTCTCTGTGACCTCTGTGTACCATCTCATAGTTGCTGCTGTTGCTGCTCTGTCGGTACTGGCTGGTAGGACGTGGCGAATAAGGCCAGACAAACTTGTATTCATCCACAGAGCGTTTATTGACGAAAATATCTCTGAAGGTCCTCACCCCTCTCAAGTGTCTCTGTGATAACTGACAACAATAATAATTTATTTGCAGGAAGGTATAATGGGTTGGTGAGATTACATAAGATTGATATTTTTACATTCATGTAAAGCCACTAACATGCATAGCGTTTCGGGCAGGTCCTTAATCTAACATATCAGGTAAGATGAAAGGGTACATTGTTGGCAAGTTTCAATGTTGCGCGCACACACACACTTGTGACGTCAGAGCTCTATAGGCGCTTCAGTTGTTGGTTGCCGGCTTCCATGTTGCATTAGCCGTTAATCCATATTACGAACAAAAGCAAAAGATGAGACCAGAAGGAATATGTATATAAGAGGATGGCAATTACCGGAATCTAAGAGGAAACTTTCAGTGGATATAATTCCAATGCTAACGCCACAGGATAACATGTGGGCAGTACAGAGGAGACAGAAAGGAAGGTGTGGACAGGAGCAGATAGGGTGGGGGTGGGCGTGGGTTGAGTGTTAGGCTGAGTACCTGGAGGACAGCGACCGTCTCCAGCAGACCTGTCCTGGTAGGGGGGGTGTCTAGCCCCATGCCGGGTCAGCCCTCGCACCCCACATCAGGATCCTGCTGGGGGAGGGGGTGAAGGGCCTCTCGGTGAGTGAACCTCCATAAGCGTATTGCTCGCATCTACCACCCTCTTGCACACGCTACACCTTCCCGTCATACACCTCACCCGGACCCTCCTACACACTACACACCCCGACCCGCCGACACTCACAGCACGCCAGTAGTGGTGGGTGACCACACCGGACCCTCCAACACCCCACACCACCGACACCCCCACACCACCGACCCTCCGACACCCTCGACCCTCCTACACCCTCACAGCACGTCAGTAGTGGTGGGTGACCCATCCTCCTGTTAAATAATACCTATTGTGACGATCGTCAATAGTCACGTATTCGTATATACTTAGTTTTTAGATAGTAGTATAGACTAGTAAGGAATTATTTAAACACATGAAGCTAAAAAACAAACTTAAATATTCCTAGGCCTAATATAGCACACATAAGTACTATATGAGGCCTAAGGAGAGTAGGTTAGGTTAGGTTAGTTTGTCAAAGCAACACAAGTAAATAAGAGTTTTCTGTTTTGTCTGAGCCCATTGTGGGTCCCTGTAACCCTTTCCATTACCGCCCACAAGATTGGTATCGGGTGCATAATAATTGAACTAAACTATAAAAACGTTTTGTCCAAC